CAGGCTAGGAGTTAGTAAACAGACTGGAACACCAGGTTAGGAGTTAGTAAACAGACTGGAACACCAGGCTAGGAGTTAGTAAACAGACTGGAACACCAGGCTAGGAGTTAGTAAACAGACTGGAACACCAGGCTAGGAGTTAGTAAACAGACTGGAACACCAGGCTAGGAGTTAGTAAACAGACTGGAACACCAGGCTAGGAGTTAGTAAACAGACTGACTGGAACACCAGGTTAGGAGTTAGTAAACAGACTGGAACACCAGGCTAGGAGTTAGTAAACAGACTGACTGGAACACCAGGCTAGGAGTTAGTAAACAGACTGGAACACAGGCTAGAGTTAGTAAAAGACTGGAAACCAGGCTAGGAGTTAGTAAACAGACTGGAACACCAGGCTAGGAGTTAGTAAACAGACTGGAACACCAGGCTAGGAGTTAGTAAACAGACTGGAACACCAGGTTAGGAGTTAGTAAACAGACTGGAACACCAGGCTAGGAGTTAGTAAACAGACTGACTGGAACACCAGGCTAGGAGTTAGTAAACAGACTGGAACACCAGGCTAGGAGTTAGTAAACAGACTGGAACACCAGGCTAGAGTGGTAAACAGACTGACTGGGAACACCAGGCTAGGAGTTAGTAAACAGACTGGAACACCAGGCTAGGAGTTAGTAAACAGACTGGAACACCAGGCTAGGAGTTAGTAAACAGACTGACTGGAACACCAGGCTAGGAGTTAGTAAACAGAATGGAACACCAGGCTAGGAGTTAGTAAACAGACTGGAACACCAGGCTAGGAGTTAGTAAACAGACTGACTGGAACACCAGGCTAGGAGTTAGTAAACAGAATGGAACACCAGGCTAGGAGTTAGTAAACAGACTGGAACACCAGGCTAGGAGTTAGTAAAAACAGGATACACCAGGCTAGGAGTTAGTAAACAGACTGAGAACACCAGGCTAGGAGTAGTAAACAGACTGGAACACCAGGCTAGGAGTTAGTAAACAGACTGGAACACCAAGGCTAGGAGTTAGTAAACAGGACTGGAACACCCAGGGTAGGAGTTAGTAAACAGACTGGGAACACCAGGCTAGGAGTTAGTAAACAGACTGGAACACTAGGCTAGGAGTTAGTAAACAGACTGACTGGAACACCAGGCTAGGAGTTAGTAAACAGACTGGAAACACCAGGCTAGGAGTTAGTAAACAGACTGTAAACACCAGGCTAGGAGGTTAGTAAAACAGACTGTGAACACCAGGCTAGGAGTTAGTAAACAGACTGGAACACCAGGCTAGGAGTTAGTAAACAGACTGGAACAACCAGGCTAGGAGTTAGTAAACAGACTGGAACACCAGGCTAGGAGTTAGTAAAACAGACTGGAACACCACCAGGGCTAGGAGTTAGTAAACAGACTGACTGGAACACCAGGCTAGGAGTTAGTAAACAGACTGACTGGAACACCAGGCTGGGAGTTAGTAAACAGACTGGAACACCAGGCTAGGAGTTAGTAAACAGACTGGAACACCAGGCTAGGAGTTAGTAAACAGACTGGAACACCAGGCTAGGATTTAGTAAACAGACTGGAACACCAGGCTAGGAGTTCATAAACAGACAAACATCAGCCCCCCCCCCCTCGCCCACCCCCCCCCCACACACACACACACAAACTGTGCCACTGCACAGCCAAGTAAGTCTCAAACAAGCAAATGTTAAGTTTACCATAATTTGTAGAAACATGAGTAACAAGCTTTTTAGGCCAAACACATAAATGTGTATTTATTTCCCTTTCTCTCCCAGAGGAAAGATTCATTTATGCAGTTTCAAAGCCCCTAAGAGTTCATGTCAAGGATTAGCATACGTCAAACTGCTGCGTGTGCTTGTGAATATTTTAGCTTAAATTGTTTCTGTGAGAAGAAACCAGTCCTGACTAAAATTAGTTTCTGTTTATTGCAATTGTTTGGCTGTTCATCTGTTGTCTAATTAGTCTGTTGTCTAATTGGTATTTTGTCTAATTAGTGTGTTGTGAAGACTGTTGTCTAATTAGTATGTTGTGTAATTAGCATGCTGGCTAATTAGTCTGTTGTCTAATTCGTCTGTTGTCTAATTAGTATGTTGTCTAATTAGTCTGCTGTCTAATTAGTATGTTGTCTAATTAGTCTGCTGTCTAATTCGTCTGTTGTCTAATTCGTCGGTTGTCTAATTAGTATGTTGTCTAATTAGTATGTTGTCTAATTAGTCTGCTGTCTAATTCGTTGGTTGTCTAATTAGTACGTTGTGTAATTAGCATGCTGGCTAATTAGTCTGTTGTCTAATTCTTCTGTTGTCGAATTAGTATGTTGTCTAATTAGTCTGCTGTCTAATTAGTCTGCTGTCTAATTCGTCTGCTGTCTAATTTGTCTGCTGTCTAATTCGTCTGCTGTCTAATTAGTCTGTTGTCTAATTAGTCTGTTGTCTAATTAGTCTGCTGTCTAATTAGTCTGCTGTCTAATTCGTCTGCTGTCTAATTCGTCTGCTGTCTAATCGTCTGTTGTCTATTCTGGAATACTAACTGAATATAATGTTACACTGTATATTTAGTCCAAGCTATATGTGCAAGTTGTCGGTCTAATTGTTAACTTTTTCCTAAAATCATGAAACTTGGTACATATGTCGTTTCACTTCACCGATGGCACTATAGTGAATCGGAGCGATCTTCAATTTGGACCAGGGTTGGAATCAATTCCATTTAAATTCCAGTCAATTCAGAAAGTAAACGGACATTTAAATTCCAATTCTCTTCAACGCATTTTAATGAAACATTTTTGGAATTGGAATTTTGTTAATTTTCTGAATTGACTGCAATTGAAATTGAAATGACCCCAACGCTGGTCTGGACTCCAGGCTCCCTGGTCTGGACTCTTTAATCACTAGATGTTCTCTCCCCCCTGTCTACCCCCCCCCCACATCCCTTTATCCCTGTCTACCCCCACCCCCACCCCCACATCCCTTTATCCCCCTGTCTACCCCCACCCCCACATCCCTTTATCCCTGTCTACCTCCATCCCTCCGTCCCTCTGTCTCCCATACCTCCATCCCTCCATCCCTCTGTCTCTCATACCTCCATCCCTCTGTCTCCCATACCTCCATCCCTCCGTCCCTCTGTCTCCCATACCTCCATCCCTCCATCCCTCTGTCTCCCATACCTCCATCCCTCTGTCTCCCATCCCTCCATCCCTCTGTCTCCCATACCTCCATCCCTCTGTCTCCCATCCCTCCATCCCTCTGTCTACCCCCATACCTCCATCCCTCTCTCTCCCATCCCTCCATCCCTCTGTCTCCCATACCTCCATCCCTCTGTCTCCCATCCCTCCATCCCTCTGTCTCCCATACCTCCATCCCTCCATCCCTCTGTCTCCCATACCTCCATCCCTCCATCCCTCTGTCTCCCATACCTCCATCCCTCTGTCTCCCATACCTCCATCACTCCGTCCCTCTGTCTCTCATACCTCCATCCCTCTGTCTCCCATACCTCCATCCCTCTGTCTCCCATACCTCCATCCCTCCATCCCTCTGTCTCCCATAATCCTCATCCCTCTGTCTCCCATACCTCCATCCCTCCATCCCTCTTCTCCCATATCTCCCTCTTCTCCATACTCATCCCTCTGTCTCCCATACCTCCATCCCTCTGTCTCCCATACCTCCATCCCTCTGTCTCCCATACCTCCATCCCTCTGTCTCCCATACCTCCATCCCTCCATCCCTCTGTCTCCCATACCTCCATCCCTCTGTCTCCCATACCTCCATCCCTCCATCCCTCTGTCTCCCATACCTCCATCCCTCTGTCTCCCATACCTCCATCCCTCCATCCCTCTGTCTCCCATACACTCCATCCATCCCTCCCTCGGTCTCCATACCTCCATACTCTGTCTCCCATAAACTCCATCCTCTGTCTCCCAGAACCTCCATACCCTCCCATCCCCTACTGTCCTCCCCAATACCTCCATCCCTCTGTCTCCCCATTACCTCCATCCCTCTGTCTCCCATAACTCCCCCATCCCTCTGTCTCCCAATTACCTCCAATCCCTCCATCCTCATGTACTCCCATGACCTCCATCCCTCTGTCTCCCATAACCTCCCATTCCCTCTGGTCTACCCATAACCTACCATCACTCCGTCCCATCTGTCTCTCAATACCGCCATCCACCTCTGTCTCCCATACCTCCATCCCATCTGTCTTCCCATACCTCCATCTCCCTCATCCCTCTGTCGTCCCATACTCCATCCCTCAATCCCTCTGTCTCACATACCTCCATCCCTCTGTATCCCATACCCAAATCCCTCCATCCCTCTTGTTCCTCCCATACCTCCATCCCTCCATCCCTCTGTCTCCCATACCATCCATCCTCATCACTACTGGTCTCCCATACCTCCATCCCTCTGTCTCCCATACCTCCATCCTCTGTCTCCCATACCTCCATCCCTCTGTGCTCCCATACCTCCATCCCTCCGCCCTCTGTCTCCCATACCTCCATCCCTCGGTCATCCCATACCTCCATCCCTCCATCCCTCTGTCTCCCATACCTCCATCCCTCTGTCTACCATAACCTCCATCCCCTCATCCCTCTGTCTCCCATACCTCCATCCCTCTGTCTCCCATCCCTTCCATCCCTCTGTCATACCCCCATAACCTCCATCCTCTGTCTCCCATACCTCCATCCCTCCATCCCTCTGTCTCCCATACCTCCATCCCTCCATCCCTCTCTCTCCCATACCTACATCCCTCGTCTCCCCATACCTCCATCCCTCCATCCCTCTGTCTCCCATACCTCCATCCCTCTGTCTCCCATACCTCCATCCCTCTGTCTCCCATCCCTCCATCCCTCTGTCTACCCCCCATACCTCCATCCCCCATCTCCCCACTCCTCCACCCTCCATTCCCCCCATTCCTCCATCCCCCATCTCCCCACTCCTTCACCCTCCATTCTCCCCATCCCTCCGTCTCCCCATCACCTCCACCGCTCCACCCCAGGTGTCCGGGTGAAGAGTGGCCAGTGTTCGGTTCACAGCCTGCTACCGTGGCGCCTGACATGGACATGGACTACTGCTCTGCTCCTCTCTGTTCCTCTGGTGCCTTCAGCTTCCTGGTGAGGCTCCTCCTACATCCTGCCATCCTCCTATACATGGAGGGACCACTCCTCCCTCTTCCATCCCTCCCTTCCTCAGACTGTCTGCTTGCTCTGGCCTTACCCATAAGCCAACCAGGACTGGAGCCTGCTGAGGGGATCCACTTCTGACTCCAACAAACCAATGGATGGTCAACAAATTACATTCATCTCTTTTATTTACGTATACATTTTTCGGGAGCTGATCTAAACATTTTGTGATTTAATTTAAATTTGGCACTTCTTTCCAAACATCACTTGTGTTGTACTGTAACTGTACATTGTTGTGGAAAGTCTTTTAGTTTAATCATTTAGGATGCATCCCAAATGGCACCCTATTCCCTATTTAGTGCCCAATGGGCCTGGTCAAAAGTAGTGCACTATTTAGGAAATAGGGCATCTAACTGCTTCAAGACGGCTGGCGACTGGCATCTAACTGCTTCCAGACGGCTGGCGACTGGCATCTAACTGCTTCCAGACGGCTGGCGACTGGCATCTAACTGCTTCCAGACGGCTGGCGACTAGAATCTAACTACTTCCAGATGCCTGGAGACTAGCATCTATCTACTTCTAGACGGCCACAGCTCTGAGGCTCTACAGAGCGTGAACAATTCCCTGAAAGCTGCTACTGAGGCGGTCTGGCTGTCTCTGTCTGACTGTCTGGCTCTCTGTCTGACTGTCTGGCTCTCTGGCTGTCTCTGTCTGACTGTCTGGCTGTCTGGCTCTCTGTCTGACTGTCTGGCTGTCTGGCTCTCTGGCTGTCTCTGTCTGACTGTCTGGCTCTCTGGCTGTCTCTGTCTGACTGTCTGGCTCTCTGTCTGACTGTTTGGCTCTCTGTCTGACTGTCTGGCTCTCTGTCTGACTGTCTGGCTCTCTGTCTGACTGTCTGGCTCTCTGTCTGACTGTCTGGCTCTCTGGCTGTCTCTGTCTGACTGTCTGGCTCTCTGTCTGACTGTCTGGCTCTCTGGCTGTCTCTGTCTGACTGTCTGACTGTCTGGTTCTCTGGCTGTCTCTGTCTGACTGTCTGGCTCTCTGTCTGACTGTCTGGCTCTCTGTCTGACTGTCTGGCTCTCTGTCTGACTGTCTGGCTCTCTGTCTGACTGTCTGGCTCTCTGTCTGACTGTCTGGCTGTCTCTGTCTGACTGTCTGGCTCTCTGTCTGACTGTCTGGCTCTCTGGCTGTCTCTGTCTGACTGTCTGGCTGTCTGGCTGTCTGTAAGGCTGTAATACTGGGATCAGCCTCTCTTCTCATTAGTTATCTGCATCCATGTACTCCTTGGCTGCCTAACAAGCATCACAGCAGCTCAGTAGAGATCAGTGTTTTCTTATTCACACAGAGAGAAGTGAAAGAAAAAACATGTTTTAGTAGCATGTTTTACCCCAGAAATGTTACTATTTCCAGACTAGCTTTTTGTACATTGTGTTACCTTTAGAAACAAAACAAAACAAGTGAGTGGTGTGTGTTTCAGGTAGGTCAAAGTTTCTGTTTTTCTAATAGCAAAGAGCTTGGTAATGTGTTGGACTGATGGGTGTATCAGAGTACATCTGTACACCTGGACTCACCTGTAGTGCCCAAACAGATCTTTAGACAAAGACTTGACGACTCTGTGGAAACTCATGTTGTCAGTACAAATAAATGTCTGTCTTTAATACATATTATTTTTCTGGTTGTCTATCTTAGGGCTTGGCGGTATACCATATTTTACAATATACCGGTATTGATGCACGGACCAGTTTGGGGTTTTACTTTACATTCTATAACGGTATTTGAATGTTTGGTTTGTTAAATGTGATATTCCGTGTGTAACGTCCATTATTATAGTTTACACGGTACTAGTCATCCCTCTCTGCTCTCTCTCTCCATGCCGCTTTCCACACAGACCTAGCCCCGCCCCCTGTCACTCAAAGAGCCGTGTTCAGTCTGCCTGGTCAATGCAGCACATGCAACAATGTCATGACAACGATGTTTCCACTTTGCTTTCCAAGTGTTCTATAACTACACTATTAGTTTGTGTTTCTTACATCTGCAAACATGGCTCCTGAGTGGCGCAGCGGTCTAAGGCACTGCAACTCAGTGCTTGAGGCGTCACTACAGACCCCGTGGTTCGATTCCAGGCTGTATCACAACCGGCCGTGATTGGGAGTCCCATAGGCAGCGCACAATTGGCCCAGCGTCGTCCGGGTTTGGCCGGTGTAGGCCGTCATTGTAAATAAGAATTTGTTCTTAACTGACTTGCCTAGTTAAATTAAACATTTTTAAAATACAGCTGGTTTCATAGCAAGTTTTAGCTAAATCGTGTTAGCCGCTAACGCTAATCACTAGATAGCTGGCTAACTAGCTAGCTAATAATAATAATATAATATAATAATATGCCATTTAGCAGACGCTTAATAAATGTACTGAGTCAGAGCAAACGTAGCTAGCTAAAACAGCCTAGTCTGTCTACTTGGCTGAGGCCATATGGTTGTTTTAGTCTCTACTTGGCTGAGGCCATATGGTTGTTTTAGTCTCTACTTGGCTGAGGCCATATGGTTGTTTTATTCTGTCTACTTTGAGGCCATATGGTTGTTTTATTCTGTCTACTTTGAGGCCATATGGTTGTTTTATTCTGTCTAGGAGACTATTCAGGATTGAGGGAAAGATGAATAAAGAAAAGTACAGAGAGATCCTTCATGAAAACCTGCTTCAGAGCACACAGGACCTCAGACTGGGGCGAAGGTTCACTTTCCAACAGGACAACGACCTAAGCACACAGCCAAGACAACGCAGGATTGGCTTCGGGACAAGTCTCTGAATGTCCTTGAGTGGCCCAGCCAGAGCCCGAACGAACATCTCTGGAGAGACCTGAAAATAGGTGTGTAGCGATTCTCCCCTACCAACCTGACAGAGCTTGAGAGGATCTGCAGAGAATAATGGGAGAAACTCCCCAAATACAGGTGTGCCAAGATTGTTGCGTCATACCCAAGAAGACTTGAAGCTGTAAAGGCTGCCAAAGGTGCTTCAACAAAATACTGAGTAACTTCTACGGGATCGGTGTCCCTTATACGGACGGTTGTTACTCAATATGCGAAATGTGACTAGAATGGAGTTTTAGTCAACTTTCCAGGACATAGACATGTCTTATATGGGCAGAAAGCTTAAATTATTGTTAATCTAACTACAGTGTCCAATTTACAGTAGATATTACAGCTAAAAAAAATACCTTGCTATTGTTTGAGCATAGTGCACAACAACTAAACACATTTATCAAGGCAACTGGTTTGATACATTCACCTCTAGAGGTAAATAATGTATTTACATTCAGTAATCTTGCTCTGATTTGTCATCCTGAGGGTCCCAGAGATCAAATGTGGAGTAGTTTTGTTTGAAAAATGAATTTTTATATTCAAATGTAGGAACTGGGAGATACAGTTTGACCTCTGACTCCTCACCCACCCCGCCCGGCCATCTAGATGTGTGAAGGTTAGTGTATTTTCTGTAGGGAAGCTAATGATACATCATTTATGACATTCCTGGGAGTGTGCAAACTTAAATGTTGTATTACCATAGCATTTTTGTATGTTCTCTATAGTTATGTACTTGAAAACCAATTCGGCACATGTGGGAAAACTCCTGGCAGACTTGATACAAAATATTGTATACTGGATCACTCTGAAACTTTGCACACACACTGCTGCCATCTGGTGGACAACATATCAATTCATCTAGAATCCTACATCACTGTCTGGTATTTCTCTTGCATTTCAAAGATGATGCAAAAAAATTAAAATAGAAAACGCATGTTTTTTTGTTTGTATTATCTTTTACCAGATCTAATGTGTTATATTCTCCTACATTGATTTCACATTTCCGCAAACTTCAAAGTGGTTCCTTTCAAATGTAATCAAGAATATGCATATCCTTGCTTCAGGTCCTGAGCTACAGGCAGTTAGATTTGGGTATGTCATTTTAGGGGGGGGTAAAAAAAAAAAAAAAAAAAAAAAGGGTCCAATCCTTAAGAGGGTAAAGGGTCTGTAAATGTGATATTTCAGTTTTGTATTTTTATAAATTTGCAAACATTTAAAAAAAACCTGTTTTTGCTTTGTCATTATGGGTATTGTGTGTAGATTGATGATGGAAAAAAACGATTTAATCAATTTTAGAATAAGGCTGTAAAGTAACAAAATGTGGAAAAAGTCAGGTGTCTGAATACTTTCACAATGCACTGTATCTGACATTGTATTCCCATTTGAACTTAGATGTGCTTTTAAATGTTTGAAAGCGCAGTGATAGACATTTGGGTGACAACTTAACCAACAATAAGACATTGTTTTTCCATTGGAATTTTGTTGTGCTTTTAGTTGGTTGAAAGCATAGTGATAACATATTGGAAATTCAGCTAACTTTTGGCTGTCTTTTTGAGTGGGTGAATACACTAAGTATACCAAACATTAGGAACACCTTCCTAATATTGAATTGCATACCCTGCCTTTTGCCCTCAGAACTGCCTCAATTCGTCTGGGCATGGACTCTACAAGGTTCTACAGGGATGCTGGCTCCAATGCTTCCCACAGTTGTGTCAAGTTAGCTGGATGTCCTTTGGGTGGTGGATCATTCTTAATACACACGGGAAACTGTTGAGCGTCCGAGTGGCGCAGCGGTCTAAGGCACTGCATCTCAGTGCTTGAGTTGTCACTACAGACCCCCTGGTTCGATTCCAGGCTGTATCACAACCAGCCGTGATTGGGAGTTCCATAGGGCGGCGCACAATTGGCCCAGCGTCGTCCGGGTTTGGCCGGTGTAGGCCGTCATTGTAAATAAGAATTTGTTCTTAACTGACTTGCCTAGTTAAATTAAACATTTTTAAAAACAGCTGTTTTCATAGCAAGTTTTAGCTAAATCGTGTTAGCCGCTAACGCTAATCACTAGATAGCTGGCTAACTAGCTAGCTAATAATAATAATAATAATATAATATAATAATATGCCATTTAGCAGACGCTTAATAAATGTACTGAGTCAGAGCAAACGTAGCTAGCTAAAACAGCCTAGTCTGTCTACTTGGCTGAGGCCATATGGTTGTTTTAGTCTCTACTTGGCTGAGGCCATATGGTTGTTTTAGTCTCTACTTGGCTGAGGCCATGTGGTTGTTTTATTTTGTCTACTTTGAGGCCATATGGTTGTTTTATTCTGTCTACTTTGAGGCCATATGGTTGTTTTATTCTGTCTAGGAGACTATTCAGGATTGAGGGAAAGATGAATAAAGAAAAGTACAGAGAGATCCTTCATGAAAACCTGCTTCAGAGCACACAGGACCTCAGACTGGGGCGAAGGTTCACTTTCCAACAGGACAACGACCTAAGCACACAGCCAAGACAACGCAGGATTGGCTTCGGGACAAGTCTCTGAATGTCCTTGAGTGGCCCAGCCAGAGCCCGAACGAACATCTCTGGAGAGACCTGAAAATAGGTGTGTAGCGATTCTCCCCTACCAACCTGACAGAGCTTGAGAGGATCTGCAGAGAATAATGGGAGAAACTCCCCAAATACAGGTGTGCCAAGATTGTTGCGTCATACCCAAGAAGACTTGAAGCTGTAAAGGCTGCCAAAGGTGCTTCAACAAAATACTGAGTAACTTCTACGGGATCGGTGTCCCTTATACGGACGGTTGTTACTCAATATGCGAAATGTGACTAGAATGGAGTTTTAGTCAACTTTCCAGGACATAGACATGTCTTATATGGGCAGAAAGCTTAAATTATTGTTAATCTAACTACAGTGTCCAATTTACAGTAGATATTACAGCTAAAAAAAATACCTTGCTATTGTTTGAGGATAGTGCACAACAACTAAACACATTTATCAAGGCAACTGGTTTGATACATTCACCTCTAGAGGTAAATAATGTATTTACATTCAGTAATCTTGCTCTGATTTGTCATCCTGAGGGTCCCAGAGATCAAATGTGGAGTAGTTTTGTTTGAAAAATGAATTTTTATATTCAAATGTAGGAACTGGGAGATACAGTTTGACCTCTGACTCCTCACCCACCCCGCCCGGCCATCTAGATGTGTGAAGGTTAGTGAATTTTCTGTAGGGAAGCTAATGATACATCATTTATGACATTCCTGGGAGTGTGCAAACTTAAATGTTGTATTACCATAGCATTTTTGTATGTTCTCTATAGTTATGTACTTGAAAACCAATTCGGCACATGTGGGAAAACTCCTGGCAGACTTGATACAAAATATTGTATACTGGATCACTCTGAAACTTTGCACACACACTGCTGCCATCTGGTGGACAACATATCAATTCATCTAGAATCCTACATCACTGTCTGGTATTTCTCTTGCATTTCAAAGATGATGCAAAAAAATTAAAATAGAAAACGCATGTTTTTTTGTTTGTATTATCTTTTACCAGATCTAATGTGTTATATTCTCCTACATTGATTTCACATTTCCGCAAACTTCAAAGTGGTTCCTTTCAAATGTAATCAAGAATATGCATATCCTTGCTTCAGGTCCTGAGCTACAGGCAGTTAGATTTGGGTATGTCATTTTAGGGGGGGGTAAAAAAAAAAAAAAAAAAAAAAGGGTCCAATCCTTAAGAGGGTAAAGGGTCTGTAAATGTGATATTTCAGTTTTGTATTTTTATAAATTTGCAAACATTTAAAAAAACCTGTTTTTGCTTTGTCATTATGGGTATTGTGTGTAGATTGATGATGGAAAAAAACGATTTAATCAATTTTAGAATAAGGCTGTAACGTAACAAAATGTGGAAAAAGTCAGGTGTCTGAATACTTTCACAATGCACTGTATCTGACATTGTATTCCCATTTGAACTTAGATGTGCTTTTAAATGTTTGAAAGCGCAGTGATAGACATTTGGGTGACAACTTAACCAACAATAAGACATTGTTTTTCCATTGGAATTTTGTTGTGCTTTTAGTTGGTTGAAAGCATAGTGATAACATATTGGAAATTCAGCTAACTTTTGGCTGTCTTTTTGAGTGGGTGAATACACTAAGTATACCAAACATTAGGAACACCTTCCTAATATTGAATTGCATACCCTGCCTTTTGCCCTCAGAACTGCCTCAATTCGTCTGGGCATGGACTCTACAAGGTTCTACAGGGATGCTGGCTCCAATGCTTCCCACAGTTGTGTCAAGTTAGCTGGATGTCCTTTGGGTGGTGGATCATTCTTAATACACACGGGAAACTGTTGAGCGTCTGAGTGGCGCAGCGGTCTAAGGCACTGCATCTCAGTGCTTGAGTTGTCACTACAGACCCCCTGGTTCGATTCCAGGCTGTATCACAACCAGCCGTGATTGGGAGTCCCATAGGGCGGCGCACAATTGGCCCAGCGTCGTCCGGGTTTGGCAGGTGTAGGCCGTCATTGTAAATAAGAGTTTGTTTTTAACTGACTTGCATAGTTAAATAAAGGTAAAATACATTTTAAAAAATAACCCAGCAGCGTTGCAGTTCATAACACACCTGGCATCTACTACCATACCCCGTTCAAAGGCACTTAAATATTTTGTCTTGACCCTTCACCCTCTGAATGGAACACATACACAATCCATGTCTCAAGGCTTAAAAATCCTTCTTTAACCTGTCTCCTCCCCTTCATCTATACTGAAGTAGATTTAACAAGTGGCATCAATAAAGGATCAATTATGATTCCAAGATGGCATAGCAGTGCGGTCGTATATTATGTTGTGTCCTCGTGTAAATAGCCTGTTTTTTTGTTTGTTTTTTGTCTTTTTTCGTATATATTTCTCTATCTCACTTTCCATCATTAACTAAATATACTTTCCTGCAACCCGCCTCACCCAATGTGGAACAGATTCTATTATTTCTTCATACCTTTTATCAAGAACCCACGGCTGAAACTAGCCAGCTAGCCAGCTAACTAGCCACTTGCTATTAGCTATTGCTATTAGCCACTTTTAGTTGTTTTCACCACTGTCCGTGGCCTGCAATACCTACCAGCCAGCTCTAGCCTGGACAATTATCGGCCAGTCTGCACAGCGTGCTATCGACCCAGAGCATTTCGGATTTTCTGCCGGAATCACTGAATCACTGGACCTTAACACCGGATCATCACAACTAGCTAGCTGCAACCGAATGGATGCTGTTGTTGGCTAATCACCACTAATCACCACTTGTCTCAAAGCTAGCACCACTTAGCCTTGAGCTAGCCTCAAGCCAGGCCCATCTCCAGGCTATCCACCTCTCTGTCAACCGGACGGGACCTCCTAGTGTCGACACGGAGCCCCGCCGATCCATCATGACTGGTCTGCTGACGTAATCGTCTGATGTGGTTTCAACAGGCTTCCCGTTGCGACGACCACAAAGATCCTTCTGCTAGCCCCAGCCCGCTAGCACGCGCAATCAACAGCCATGCCTCCTGCTCGCCTGTGCTGTAGCAGCCTACGAACTGCTCCCGGACTTACCTATTGCGGTTCACTGAACCTTATGATCACTCAGCTACACATCTGATGCCCGCTGGACTGTTCCTTTACACGGTACCCCATCCTGTTTATCTGTTTAGCCTCAGCCCAAACTTTCATCGCCATTACCAGTTGTTGTCTTAGCTCTCTCTAATAACACCTGTGATTGCTTTATGCCTTTCTCCCATGTCAATATGCCTTGCCTATTGCTGTTCCACTTAGTTCTTATTATACATTTCACTGTAGAGCCCAAAGTCCCTCTCAAACTGCCTCAAATAGCTCCTTTGTTCCACCCCCCATACACGCGGAGACCGGCTCAATCGGTACCTCCAGTGATCTCTTTCATCGTTACCCAATGCTTAGGTTTACCTCCACTGTACTCATATCCTTCCATATCCTTGTCTGTACATAATGCCCTGAATCTATTCTACAACGCCCGGAAAATGCCCCGTTTATTCTCTGTACCCAACGCACTAGAAGACCAGTTCTTAGCCTTTAGCCATATACTTATTCTATTCAAATCAAATCTTTTCAGTCTCCTGAGGGGGAATAGGCTTTGTCGTGCCCTCTTCACGACTGTCTTGGTGTGTTTGGACCATGATAGTTCGTTGGTGATGTGGACACCAAGGAACTTGAAGCTCTCAACCTGTTCCACTACAGCCCCGTCGATGAGAATGGGGGCGTGCTCAGTCCTTTTTTTTTTCCTGTAGTCCACAATCATCTCCTTTGTCTTGGTCACGTTGAGTTGGAGATGGTTGTTGTCCTGGCACCACATGGCCAGGTCTCTGACCTCCTCCCTATAGGCTGTCGTATCGTTGTCGGTGATCAGGCCTACCACTGTTGTGTCGTCGGCAAACTTAATGATGGTGTTGGAGTTGTGCCTGGCCATGCAGTCATGGGTGAACAGGGAGTACAGGAGGGGACTGAGCACGCACCCCTGAGGGGCCCCCGTGTTGAGGATCAGTGTGGCAGATGTGTTGTTACCTACCCTTACCACCTGGGGGCGGCCCGTCAGGAAGTCCAGGATCCAGTTGCAGAGGGAGGTGTTTAGTCCCAGGATCCTTAGCTTAGTGATGAGCTTAGAGGGCACTATGGTGTTGAATGCTGAGCTGTAGTCAATGAATAGCATTCTCACGTAGGTGTTCCTCTTGTCCAGGTGGGAAAGGGCAGTGTGGAGTGCAATAGAGATTGCATCATCTGTGGATCTGTTGGGGCGGTATGCAAATTGGAGTGGGTCTAGGGTTTCTGGGATAATGCTGTTGATGTGAGCCATGACCAGCCTTTCAAAGCACTTCATGGCTACAGACGTCAGTGCTATGGGTCGGTAGTCATTTAGGCAGGTTATCTTAGAGTCCTTGGGCACGGGGACTATGGTGGTCTGCTTGAAACATGTTGGTATTACAGACTCAGTCAGGGACATGTTGAAAATGTCAGTGAAGACACTTGCCAGTTGGTCAGCACATGCTAGGAGTACACATCCTGGTAATCCGTCTGGCCCTGCGGCCTTGCTTAAAAGTCTTACTCACATCGGCTACGGAGAGCGTGATCACATAGTCATCCGGAACAGCTGGTGCTCTCATGCATCCTCCTCTGTTCCTCTGGTGATGTAGAGGTTAACCCAGGCCCTGTAGCCCCCAGGTGCTATCATTTGTTGACTTCTGTAACAGTAAAAGCCTTGGTTTCTTGCATGTTAACATCAGAAGCCTCCTCCCCAAGTTTGAGTTATTCACTGCGTTACCACACTCTGCCAACCCAGATGTTCTAGCAGTGTCTGAATCCTGGCTTAGTAGGATAGTCAGTTTTACAAGGGCATGTCTGGCAGCATGAGTGAAGGAGGCTTTGTTGCGAAATAGGAAGCCGATTCTAGATTTAACTTTGGATTGGAGATTCTTAATGTGAGTCTGGAAGGAGAGTTTACGGTCTAACCAGACACCTAGGTATTTGTAGTTGTCCACATACTGTAGGTCAGACCCACCGAGAGTAGTGACTCTAGTCGGGTATGCGGGTGCCAGCAGCGTTCGATTGAAGAGCATGCATTTAGTTTTACTAGTGTTTAAGAGCAGTTGGAGGCTACGGAAGAAGTGTTGTATGGCATTGAAGCTCTTTTGGAGGTTTGTTAACACAGTGTCCAATGAAGGGCCAGATGTATACAAAATGGTGTCGTCTGCGTAGAGGTGGATCTGAGAGTCACCAGCAGCAAGAGCGACATCATTGATATACACAGAGAAAAGAGTCGGCCCAAGAATTGAACCCTGTGGCATCCCCATAGAGACTGCCAGAGGTCCAGACAACAGGCCCTCCGATTTGACACATTGAACTCTATCTGAGAAGTAGTTGGTGAACCAGGCGAGGCAGTCATTTGAGAAACCAAGGCTATTTAGTCTGCCAATAAGAATGCGGTGGTTGACAGAGTCAAAAGCCTTGGCCAGGTCGATGAAGACGGCTGCACAGTACTGTCTATTATCGATCGCAGTTATAATATCGTTTAGGACCTTGAGCGTGGCTGAGGTGCACCCATGACGGTGATCTGTTTGTTAACTTGGCTTTCAAAAACTTTCGAAAGGCAGGGCAGGATGGATATAGGTCTGTAACAGTTTGGATCTAGAGTGTCACCCCCTTTGAAGAGGGGGATGACCCCGGCAGCTTTCCAATCTCTGGGGATCTCAGACGTTACAAAAGAGAGGTTGAACAGGCTAGTAATAAGGGTTGCGACAATTTCGGCGGCTAATTTTTAGAAAGAAAGGGTCCAGATTGTCTAGCCCAGATGATTTGTATGGGTCCCAGTGGCGGCTCCTGAAAAAATTCTCAGGAGGGGCAATTTTTCTGATGATTTAGGTGACCTACACACATTTAAAAAAAGATATGTCCAGCAACAACATGAAGACAGGGGCAGCATATAAGTCAATACCAGAAGCATTTATTGACTGATCTCAAAAGTGTTGGCTTACCAGGGTTGGTGGAGCCCTCAGTTTCATCTTTGCCTCGCAAAGCTAACTCAAACACTCCGCAAAACTTCACACACTGGATTAGCCGGCTGAGGATGTGGCGGTTCTTGCTAATGTCGTAGTAAATATATTTGTTATAGTGAATATGGAATATGATATGTTGAGTAAAATGTTGTGCTAAGATCTATTTAGGTCAGGAGCTGGTTATAAGTTCTGTTCCTATCCAATAACAATGGACAAAAGGGTCCTATCTTGTCAGCCTTGTCAGCAGGTGGCCAAGGACAACACCCACGCCATAGGCCTCTCAGTTCTTCCAACTCACGAGTTCTTGCTCTGAGGACACACACACACACAAACACACACACACACACACATCATCACTGTTAAACACACACACACACACATCATCACTGTTAAACACACACACACACACACACACACAAAAATCCCCTCTCTTAGGCTGAACATTTGAAGACAGAGAACCCGACTCAGAGCCAATGCAACAGTGACAGTAGCCTGCAGGGGACCTCGCCCAACTCATCAGGACCAATCAGAAGATCAGAACTACTAGATTGAACCTACTTCATTTATTGCATAAAATGTCTGCACACAATGTTTCGGGGCTCACTTCAGATAATAATAATAATAATAATAATAATAATAATAATAATATGCCATTTAGCAGACGCTTTTATCCAAAGCGACTTACAGTCATGCGTGCATACATTTTTGTGTATGGGTGGTCCCGGGGATCGAACCCACTACCTTGGCGTTACAAGCACCATGCTCTACCAGCTGAGCTACAGAAAGTGGATACTCATGGATGCGCATTGCAATTGTAAAATGTCAACACAATTGGAGACACCACGTCATTTTTGGAGACATGTTATTGACAGTAAACTATTGTAGATGCGACTGCTAACTAAATAAAACATTTTAGCTGGCTAGCTAATCATCTTAGCTAAATGTGGGGCAAACAATTCAGTTATTTACCGTTAATTTGAGGGATTGGGGTGAAAGAAATCGAGTTACATAGTGATACTTTACGATATACTGTATTGACAATATCGCAATATTTTAGCGCTAGTTGGCTGTACCTGCACCAAAACACCATTATTGTTCCTTCATAGCTTGTTCTCAATCTTTTCACATTGGGAGCAAATTTGTTTTCAGCACTTTTATTTCCATGACTGATCAAAACTCGTTCTCATGGCTTTCTGATCCCTCTGCAACAGACATATGGTGCGCAATAAAATCACAGTATCGAATCGCAATACGTATAGAATCATGAGACTCGCAATGCTGATGCATATATCTTATCGTGAGGTTCCTGGCAATTCCCAGCCCAAGTTCATTTGCCACAACAAATCTCTTCGCTAGCAAACGCGATGTCTTCTCCAAAACGGCAATGTGTCTCCAGCAATGTTTACTTTTTTGACGTTCTATGGCATCTCCACTTTCCAAGCATATATGACCACATGTAATATTTTGGTAAGTGATGCAAATAGTGAACTATGTAGGGCCAGGATGTAAAATATATGTAGCTGCAGCAATTTCTCTTATCTGATATGGTAAGTAATGGGGCTTAATTTATAGCTCCCTAAGAGTTTGACGAACGGGTCCGTGAACGCGATTCCAGATATATTTACCTCTGAATAAACTGCCTTTATTACACCATATCCACATCCAGTAAACTTGTGATTATCAACACTAACCTCATCGTTGTGGCGGCGGACAGCTAGCCTGTATCCCTCGTCATCCAGTTGAGTGAGTGGCAATGTCTTTTTTCGTTCGTACCAATTTTTGGAAAATCCTCGGGTGTAGGACTTTCCGCCTTTAGTAGAAACCTGTTGAATTATTAAATTTGGTCTGGGAGGTCCTAATTGTTTCGTTGCCAATTTATCTCCATTTGTTCGCCGACAAAAAGGAACTTCTTTCAAACAATCCACTCTTTTCTCAGTTACGTTCATGGTTACGTAACGTATGACGAAAGCGCGTAAGTGCAAGCCCACAGACACCCATTGAGATTGTATTGAAGGCTCTGAAATTTGAAAAAAATAGATTTTACATGGGAGTCTATTACAGACTTCTGGGCGATTTTCAACCTGACTGAAATCGCCCCAAAAGGGGGGGGAGCCATTTGAAGCACGACTTTAGCCTGATTCGACATTTAGTGGCAGTGTGGCACTGTGGCAGATCAGACGTATAGATTACAACACTGATAACTACTGTTGCCGTGATATAATTGATTAGAAAAAAAATCCCTTCCTTTTCCCGTTTGGCAGTGCGTCGCCCATATCGCCCTATTGAACAGGCCGCCCCTGATGGGTCCAGATTTTGCAACTCTTTCAGAACATCAGTGGTCTGAATTTGTGTAAAGGAGAAGCTGGGGGGGGCATGGGCAAGTTGCAGCGGAGGGTGCAGAGATGGTAGCCGGGGTTGTGGTAGTGTTAGAAATTGAAATACGGTGGGATTCGAAATGGTCGGTGATCTGTTTGTTAACTTGGCTTTCAAATACTTTCAAAAGGCAGGGCAGGATGGATATAGGTGGGTGCATAGCTGGTGGCCGGGGTAGTGGTAGCCAGGTGGGACGCATGGCCAGCCGTAGCAAAATGATTGTTGAAATTCTCGATTATTGTTGCTTTATCGGTGGTGATAGTGTTTCCTAGCCTCAGTGCAGTGGGCAGCTGAGAGGAGGTGCTCTCATTCTCCATGGACTTTACAGTGTCCCAAAACCTTTTGGAGTTAGTGCTACAGGATGCAAATTTCTGTTTGAAAAAGCTAGCCTTTGCTTTCCTAACTGCTTGTGTATATTGGTTCCTAACTTCCCTGAAAAGTTGCATATCGCGGGGGCTATTCGATGCTAATGCAGTACGCCACAGGATGTTTTTGTGCTGGTCAAGGGCAGTCAAATCTGGGGAGAACCAGGTGCTATATCTGTTCTTAGTACTGCATTTTTTGAATGGGGCATGTTTATTTAAGATTGAGAGGAAAGCACTTTTAAAGAACAACCAGGCATCCTTTACTGACGGAATGAGATCGATATCCATCCAGGATACCTGGGCCAGGTCAATTAGGAAGGCCTGCTCGCTAAAGTGTTTTAGGGAGCATTTGACAGTGATGAGGGGTGGTCGTTTGACCGCGGACCTGTTTACGGACGCAGGCAATAAGGCAGTGATCGCTGAGATCCTGGTTGAAGACAGCGGAGGTGTATTTAGAGGGTAAGTTAGTCAGGATAATATCTATGAGGGTGCCCATGTTTACGGATTTAGGGTTGTACCTGGTAGGTTCCTTAAATATTTGTGTGAGATTGAGGGCATCTAGTTTGGATTGTAGGATGGCCGGGGTGTTAAGCATATCCCAGTTTAGGTCACCAAGCAGTACGAACTCTGAGGATAGATGGGGGGCAATCAATTCATATATGGTGTACAGGGCACAGCTGGGGGCTGAGGGGGGGCTGTAGCAAGTGGCAACAGTGAGAGACTTATTTCTGGAAAGGTGGATTTTTAGAAGTAGGAGCTCAAACTGTTTGGGCACAGACCTGGATAGTATGATAGAGCTCTGCCTTCCTAAGACAGGATTCAGACACTTCTAGAACATCAGGGTTGGCGGAGTGTGCTAACGCAGTGAATAACTCAAACTTAGGGAGGAGGCTTCTGATGTTAACATGCAAAAAACCAAGGCTTTTATGGTTACAGAAGTCAACAAATGATAGTTCCTGGGGAGTAGGAGTGATACTGAGGGCTGCAGGGCCTGGGTTAACCTCTGCATCACCAGAGGAATAGAGGAGGACTAGAATAAGGATACGGCTAAAGGCTTTAAGAACTGGTCTTCTAGTGCGTTTGGTACAGAGAAAAGGGGCAGATTTCCGGGCGTTGTAGAATAGATTCAGGGCATTATGTACAGACAAGGATACATTGGAGGTAAATCTAAGCGTTGGGTAACAATGAAAGAGATAGTATCACTGGAGGTAACCGATTGAGCCGGTCTCCGCGTGTATGGGGGTGGAACAAAGGAGCTATTTGAGGCAGTTTGAGAGGGACTTTGGGCTCTACAGTGAAATGTATAATAAGAACTAAGTGGAACAGCAATAGGCAAGGCATATTGACATGGGAGAGAGGCATAAAGCAATCACAGGTGTTATTCGAGAAAGCTAAGACAACAACTGGTAATGGCGATGAAAGTTTGGGCTGAGGCTAAATAGATAAACAGGACAGATAAACAGGATAGGGTACCGTTTAAAGGAACAGTCCAGCAGGCATCAGCTGTTCAGCTGAGTGATCATAAGGTCCAGTGAACAACAATATGTGAGTCCGGGAGCAGTTCGAATTGGTGCTACAGCACAGGCGAGCAGGAAGCACAGCTGTTGTTTGCGTGTGCTAGCGGGCCGTGGCTAGCAGATGGATCTTCATGGTCGTCGCAACGGGAAGACTGTTGAAACCACAGACGATTACGTCGGTAGACCAGTCGTGATGGATCGGCGGGGCTCCGTGTCGACACTAGGAGGTCCCGTCCGGTTGACAGAGAGGTAGATAGCCGGGAGATGGGCCTGACTCGAGGCTAGCTCAAGGCTGATTAGCCAACAACTACATCCATTTGGTTGCAGCTAGCTAGTTGCGATGATCCAGTGTTAAAGGTCCAGTGATTCAGTGATTCCGGCAGAAAATCTGATATGTTCTGGGTCGATAACGCGCTGTGCAGACAGTGCAGACTGGCCGATAATAGTCCAGGCTAGAGCTGGCTGGTAGATAGTGCAGGCCACGGACAATGGTGAAAAACCGCTAACGGAGGCTAATAGCAGGTAGCTAGTTAGCTGGCTACTCCGGTCCGGTAGACAGAGAGGTAGATAGCCGGGATATGGGCCTGGCTCAAGGCTAGCTCAAGGCTAACTGGTGCTTGCTTCAGGGGCAGTGGTGATTAGCCAACAGCAACATCCATTCGACATCCATTCGGTTGCGGCTAGCTAGTTGCGATCCGGTTTTAAGGTCCAGTGATTCAGTTATTCCGGCAGAAAATCTGATGTTCTGGGTGAAAACCGCAAACGGTGGCTAATAGCAAGTAGCTAGTTAGCTGGCTAGCTAGTTTCAACTGGAGATTCTAGATAAAAGTTAAGTAAATAATAGAGTCCGTTCCACATTGAGCGAGGCGGGTTGCAGGAAAGTATATTTAGAAGAAGGATGAAAAGTGTGATATGGAAATATATACGAAAAAGACAAAAAAATAAAAAATAAATAGGCTATTTACACTGACACACAACAGAGTACACGACCACACTGCTACGCCATCTTGGATAGTGGTAAAGTATTGTTCTAGGTTAGTTGTAGTTCCACATACAGGGTAACTATAGCTCCACATACAGGTTATATATAGGTACAGGTTAGGTACACTTCCACATACAGGTTAGTTATAGATACAGGTTAGGTATAGCTCCACATACAGGATAAGTATAGTTCTAGGTTAGTTAGGTATTGTTCCAAATACAGGTTAGGTATCGTTCCAGGTTAGATATAGTTCCACATAAGGGTTAAGTACAGTTCCACATACAGGGTAAGTATAGCTGCGCATACAGGTTAGGAATAGATACAGGTTAGGAATAGATACAGGTTAGGAATAGATACAGGTTAGGTATAGATAAAGGTTAGGAATAGATACAGGTTAGGAATAGATACAGGTTAGGAATAGATACAGGTTAGGTATAGACACAGGTTAGGAATAGATACAGGTTAGGAATAGATACAGGTTAGGTATAGATACAGGTTAGGAATAGATACAGGTTAGGAATAGATACATGTTAGGAATAGATACAGGTTAGGAATAGATACAGGTTAGGAATAGATACAGGTTAGGAATAGATACAGGTTAGGAATAGATACAGGTTAGGAATAGATACAGGTTAGGAATAGATACAGGTTAGGTATAGACACAGGTTAGGTATAGATACAGGTTAGGTATAGATACAGGTTAGGTATAGATACAGGTTAGGAATAGATACAGGTTAGGAATAGATACAGGTTAGGAATAGATACAGGTTAGGAATAGATACAGGTTAGTATAGATACAGGTTAGGTATAGATATAGGTTTAGGAATAGATACAGGTTAGGAATAGATACAGGTTAGGAATAGATACAGGTTAGGTATAGATACAGGTTAGGTATAGATACAGGTTAGGAATAGATACAGGTTAGGAATAGATACAGGTTAGGTATAGATACAGGTTAGGTATAGATACAGGTTAGGAATAGATACAGGTTAGGAATAGATACAGGTTAGGAATAGATACAGGTTAGGTATAGATACAGGTTAGGTATTGATACAGGTTAGGTATAGATATAGGTTAGGTATAGATACAGGTTAGGTATAGATACAGGATAGGCATAGATAGAGGTTAGGCATAGATACAGGTTAGGTATAGATACAGGTTAGGAATAGATACAGGTTAGGTATAGATACAGGTTAGGATAGATACAGGTTGGAATGATACAGATTAGGTATAGATACAGGTTAGGTATAGATACAGGTTTAGGTATAGACACAGGTTAGTTATAGCTACAGGTTAGGAATAGTTACAGGTTAGGAATAGATACAGGTTAGGAATAGATACAGGTTAGGTATAATAACAGGTAGGATAAAAACAGGTTAGGAATAGATACAGGTTAGGTATAGATACAGGTTAGGAATAGATACAGGTTAGGTATAGATACAGGTTAGGAATAGATACAGGTTAGGAATAGATGCAAGTTAGGTATAGATACAGGTTAGGAATAGATACAGGTTAGGAATAGATACAGGTTAGGAATAGATACAGGTTAGGTATAGACACAGGTTAGGTATAGATACAGGTTAGGTATAGATACAGGTTAGGTATAGATACAGGTTAGGTATAGATAAACCGGTTAGGTATAGATACAGGTTAGGTATAGATACAGGTTAGGATAGATACAGGTTAGGAATAGATACAGGTTAGGAATAGATAAGGTTAGGAATAGAGATCCAGGTTAGTATAGATACAGGTTAGGAATGATACAGGTTAGGTATAGATACATGTTAGGAATAGATACAGGTTAGGAATAGATACAGGTTAGGTATAGATACAGGTTAGGTATAGATACAGGTTAGGATAGATACAGGTTAGGATATAGATACAGGTTTAGGAATAGATACAGGTTAGGTATAGATACAGGTTAGGTATAGATACAGGTTAGGTATAGATACAGGTTAGGAATAGATACAGGTGAGGCATAGATACAGGTTAGGTATAGATACAGGTTAGGAATATATACAGGTTAGGTATCGATACAGGTTAGGAATAGATACAGGTTAGGAATAGATACAGGTTAAGAATAGATACAGGTTAGGAATAGATACAGGTTAGGAATAGATACAGGTTAGGTATAGATACAGGTTAGGTATAGATACAGGTTAGGTATAGATACAGGTTAGGAATAGATACAGGTTAGGAATAGATACAGGTTAGGAATAGATACAGGTTAGGTATAGATACAGGTTAGGAATAGATACAGGTTAGGAATAGATACAGGTTAAGAATAGATACAGGTTAGGTATAGATACAGGTTAGGCATAGTTCCATATACAGGTTAGGTATAGATACAGGTTAGGAATAGATACAGGTTAGGTATAGTTCCACATACAGGTTGGGTAAGTCCCCTGTAGCTCAGTTGGTAGAGCATGGCGCTTGCAACGCCAGGGTTGTGGGTTCGTTTCCCACGGGGGGCCAGTATGAAAAATGTATGCACTCACTAACTGTAAGTCGCTCTGGATAAGAGTGTCTGCTAAAATGACAAAAAAAAAAAAGTACAGTTCCTCATAGATGTTAGGTACAGTTCCACACAAAGGTTAGGTACAGTTCCTCATACATGTTAGGTACAGTTCCACACAAAGGTTAGGTACAGTTCCTCATAGATGTTAGGTACTGTTCCACACAAAGGTTAGGTACAGTTCCTCATAGATGTTAGGTACTGTTCCACACAAAGGTTAGGTACAGTTCCTCATACATGTTAGGTACTGTTCCACACAAAGGTTAGGTACAGTTCCACACAAAGGTTAGGTACAGTTCCTCATAGATGTTAGGTACTGTTCCACACAAAGGTTAGGTACAGTTCCTCATAGATGTTAGGTACTGTTCCACACAAAGGTTAGGTACAGTTCCTCATACATGTTAGGTACAGTTCCACACAAAGGTTAGGTACAGTTCCTCATACATGTTAGGTACAGTTCCACACAAAGGTTAGGTACAGTTCCTCATACATGTTAGGTACAGTTCCACACAAAGGTTAGGTACAGTTCCACACAAAGGTTAGGTACAGTTCCTCATACATGTTAGATACAGTTCCATATACAGGTTAGGTATCGTTCCATATACAGGTTAGGTATCGTTCCATAAACAGGTTAGGTATCGTTCCATATACAGGTTAGGTATCGTTCCATATACAGGTTAGGTATCGTTCCATATACAGGTTAGGTATAGTTCCTCATACAGGTTAGGTATCGTTCCATATACAGGTTAGGTATCGTTTCATATACAGGTTAGGTATAGTTCCATATACAGGTTAGGTATCGTTCCATATACAGGTTAGGTATAGTTCCATATACAGGTTATGTTTAGTTCCATATACAGGTTAGGTATCGTTCCATATACAGGTTAGGTATCGTTCCATATACAGGTTAGGTATAGTTCCATATACAGGTTAGGTATAGTTCCATATACAGGTTAGGTATAGTTCCATATACAGGTTAGGTATCGTTCCATATACAGGTTAGGTATCGTTCCATATACAGGTTAGGTATCGTTCCATATACAGGTTAGGTATAGTTCCATATACAGGTTAGGTATCGTTCCATATACAGGTTAGGTATCGTTCCATATACAGGTTAGGTATAGTTCCATATACAGGTTAGGTATCGTTCCATATACAGGTTAGGTATCGTTCCATATACAGGTTAGGTATCGTTCCATATACAGGTTAGGTATTTGTATTTGTATTTATCATGGATCTCCTTTAGCTGCTGCCAAGGCAGTATTTACTCTTCCTGGGGTCCAGCAAAATTAAGACAGTTATACATTTTAAAAACCTTACAATACATTCATAACAGATTTCACAACATATTAAGTGTGTGCCCTCAGGCCTCTACTCTACTACCACATATCTATAACACAAAATCCATGTGTACATGTGTGTATAGTGCGTATGTTATCGTGTGGTTGTATGCATGTGTCTATGTTTGTGTTGCTTCACAGTCCCCGCTGGTCCATAAGGTGTATTTTTATCTGTTTTCTCTGTTGTCTATAGGCCGTCTATAGGCCGCTCCGAGTTCAACGATGTGCCCCACTTGACCGTAGCTCGCTCGGTCTGACCGCAGTGACTGTGTCTGTGTGTGTCTGTGTGTGTCTGTGTGTGTCTGTGTGTGTCTGTGTGTGTCTGTGTGTGTCTGTGTGTATGAGAGTAAAACTGTCCAACAGGGGGGCAGAGCAGGCAGCCCCTGTGGAGGCAGGCCACTCTCTCCCCCCTTTCTTTTGGCCTGCTGTCCCTCTGGAGTTCCAAGTCGGTAAGCTGTACTCTCAGGCCCATGGGAGATGTCTTTTGAACAGGCAGGGAGTGCATAATTAGAGATATGGAGCTCCAGAGGTCACAAGGTCAATGTGGGCCTGCATGGAAGTCAGCAGGGCCACAAGGGTGCAACAGCTTTAACAGAATCAAACAAAAAAAAAGTGCCCTAAAGGTTATTCTAGCTGCGTGCAGCGGTTCATTCAGTCTGACCCATCCGAGTTGTTCCCCCACAGGATAACATGGGTATACATGTAATGCTCTAACTCTGCTCCTGTTTATGCAATTAGCAAAATTCCTTCTGCCACATGTTCAGGGTCACCTGTAGCTCTACAGATATCAATATGAATACAGTACATGGTCCCCTTCATATCTTAAACGGGAAGTTTTAACAATAAATATTATGTCAAATTCCATTGTAACTAATTGCCATGGGAAAGCAGTCAAGTCAGCCATCCCATTGATAAATTCATCAAAAACAGTCAAAGGACAGAACATTTGAAATGTATTTCTACAGTAGAGTATCCCAGTAGTGGACTTTATTAGTTAAAGCCATAGTGTACATTTTTTGTAACAGGTATGGAATTGACTGAATGATTAATTGATTTAATGGTAAAAGACTGAATTTGAATATGTTTGACTGTGAGCTGACAGCAAGGGAGGAGTTGGAGGTGTGTTTTAGTGGGAGGAGTGTGTTGTGGAAATAGAATGTATTTGACTAGAGGCTGACAGCATGGGAGGAGTTGGAGGGAGTGGTCTCAGATGTGTTTATAAGCAGCAACTAAGCAGCCTGGAGCATTGTACTTCCTGGATAGCTGAAGTGATTGTGTAAAGGTTTTTATTTACTGTTATTTCACTTTTCAATAATATAGATGGCTCCAGTGCGTTCTCTATTTTGTTCATGTCCACTTTGCTTTAAGGTTGTGGTTGGCTTCAGTCAGCACCTTAGGCAAGTACACAACGTTCGGAACACTGAGGAGAGGATTCTCCTTTGTAATTGGCAGTGGGGCCGTGTCAATATCAGGCAGGAGCGGTGTCCAGTGACAGGATGCTCCACCCATGTCAGCAGGCTGGACCGGCATATGGACTCCCATACAGAGCTCAACAGAGCACAGAGGAGACGGGCTTTAGAGGAGGTGAAGAGACGTCTGACAATGGAGAGGCTGGCGGCATTGAGGGCGTCGATCCCTGCCATCCCAGTGGCCACCGATTTTGATATTGTGGAGACTGCGAGGCAAGAAGAAGAGGAGGATAACTTTTTAGATACTTTTGCAGAGGAAGAGGAGGAAGAGGGCTGCACTAATAATTACTGCCACTGCCAAGCACCACTGTTGAGGCTGCAGAAGCTGTGAAAAGAGAGGGTAGGCCCTGACCAAAATAGAACATTTTCAGCTGGCTAGCTAATCATCTTAGCTAAATGTGTGGGCCAACCATTCAGTTCTTTACCTTAATTTGAGGGATTTGGGTGAAAGAAAATCGAGTTACAATGATACTTCGGATATACTGTATTGACAATATCGCAATATTAATCTCTATTTTGCTGTACCTGCACCAAACTAACCATTATTGTTTCCTCATAGCTTGTTCTCAATCTTTCACATTGGGAGCAAAGTATTTTCAGCACTTTTATTTCCATTACTTATCAAAACTCGTTCTCATGGCTTTCTGATCCTCTGCAACAGACTATGGTGCGCAACTAAGATCACATATCGAATCTCAATACGTATATAATCATGAGAACCGCAAGCTTATGCATTATCTATCGCGTGAGTTCCTGGCAATTCCCAGCCCAAGTCCTTTGCCACAAACAAAATCTCTTCGCTAGCAACGCGATGTCTTCCCAAAACGGCAAGTGTCTCCAGCAATGTTTATCTTATTTGCTTTCTATGGCAGCTCCCACTTTCAAGCATATATGACCACATGTAATATTTGGTAAGGCTGCAATCGTGAACTATGTAGGGCCAGGAATGTACAAATAATGTAGCTGCAGCAATTTCTCTTATTTGATATGGAAGTAATGGGGGCTTAATTTATAGCTCCTAAGAGTTTTGGACGAACGTTTCCCGTGAACGCGATTTCCAGATCTATTTAACCTCTGAATAAACGGAACTGCCTTATTACACCATATCCACATCCAGTAAACTTGTGATCATCAACACCTAACTCATCGATGTGGCGGCGTACAGCTAGCCTTTATCCCATCCCTCGTCATCCAGTTTGAGTCGATGCAATTCTTTTTTCGTTCGGGACCACATTTTTGAAAATCCTCGGTGGTAGGACTTTCCGCCTTTATTAGAAACCTTTGAATTATTAAATTGGTCTGGGATGTCCCTAATTTTTTTTTTCGTTGCCAATTATCTCCATTTGTTCGCCGACAAAAGAACTTCTTTTCAAACAAATTCCCCTCTTTTCGTCAGTTACTTTCATGGTTACGTTACACGTATGAACGAAAGCCGCGTAAGTGCAAGCCCACGCACCCATTGGAGGAGATTGTATTGAAGGCTCTGAAATTTTAAAAAAAATAGATTTACAGGGGAGTCTATTCAGACTTCTGGGCGGATTTTTTCAACCTGACTGAAATCGCCCCAAAAGGGGGGGGATCATTTGAAGCACGACTTTAGAGCCTGATTCGACATTTAGTTGCAGTGTGCACTGTTGCAGTCAGACGTAGAGATTACAACACTGATAACTAACTGTGCCGTGATATAATTTGATTATAAAAAAAATCCCTTCCTTTCATCCCGTTTGGCAGTGAGTGCGTCCCCATAAATCGCCCTATTGCAGCCAGATGCGCGCCCCTGAATGGGTTCCCAGAGTTGCAACTCTTCCAGAACACTCAGTGGTCTGAATGTGTGTAAAGGAGAAGCTGGGGGGGCAATTGGCAAGCTGCAAAGCGGAGGGTGCAGAGATGGTAGCCTGGTTGTGGTAAGTGTTAGAAATTTGAAATAACGGTGGGATTCGAAATGGTCCGGTGATCTGTTTGTTAACTTGCTTTCAAATACTTTCAAAAGGCCAGGGCAGCTTATATAGGTGGGTGCCATAGCTGTGGCCGGGGTAGTGTGCCAGTGTGGGACGCATGGCCAGCCTTAAGCAAAATGATTGTTTGAAATTCTATTCTCGATTATTGTCTTTAATCCGTGTGATAGTTTTCCTAGCCCCCTCAGTGCATGGGGCAAGCTGAGAGGAGGTTGCTCTTCATTCTCCATGGACTTTTACGTGTCCCAAAACCTTTTTGTAGTAGTGCTACGTATGCAAAGTTCTGTTTGAAAAAGCTAGCCTTTGCTTTCCTAACTGCTTGGTATATTGGTTCCCCCCCCCCTAAAAAACTTCCCGAAAAGTTGCATATCGTAGGGGGCTATTCTATGCTAATGCAGTACGCCCACAGATGTTTTTTGTGCTGGATCAGGGCGTCAAATCTGGGGAGAACCAGGTGCTAGATCTGTTCTTAGTACGGCATTTTTTTGAACTGGGGCCATTATTTAAGATTGAGAGGAAAAGCACTTTTTAAAGAACAACCAGGCATCCTGTTACTGACGAATGAGAATCGATATCCATCCAGGATACTGGGCCAGGTCAATTAAGGAATGCCTGCTCGCTAAAAGTGTTTTGAGGGAGCTTGACAGTGATGAGGGGTTGTCGTTTGACCGCGGACCGGTTTACGACGCAGCATAAGGCATTGATCGCTGAGATCCTTGTTGAAGACCAGCGGGAGGTGTAGTTTATATGGGTAATGTTAGTCGGAAAATATCTATGAGGTGCCCATGTTTTACGGATTTGGGGTTGTACCTGGTAGGTTCCATTACATATTTGTGTGAGATTGAGGGCATCTATTTTGGATTGTAGGATGGCCGGGGTGTTTAAGCATATCCCAGTTTAGGTCACCACGCAGTACAACTCTGAGGATAGATGGGGGCACCGGTCAATTCAATATGGTGTACAGGGCACAGTGGGGCTGAGGGGGGGCTGTAGCACAAGAGTGGCAACAGTGAGGAGCTATTTCTGGAAAGGGGGATTTTAAAGTAGGACTCAAACTGTTTGGGGCACGACCTGGATAGTATGAAGACCCTGCCTTCCTAATACCGGATTCAGACCGTCTCGAACATCAGGGTTGGCGGAGTGTGGCTAACGCAGTGAATAACTCAAAACTTAGGGAGGAGGCTCGGATTTTAACATGCAAAAAACCAGGCTTTTATGGTTACAGAAGTCAACAATGAAGTTCCTAGGGGATTAGGAGTGATACTGAGGCTGCCGGGCCTGGGTTAGCCTCTGCATCACCAAGGAATAGAGGAGGACTCGAATCATGATACTTCTTAAAGGCTTTAATAACTGGTCTTCTAGTGCGTTTGGTACAAGAGAAAAAGGGAGATTTCCGGCCGTTGTAGAATAATGATTCAGGCATTATGTACAGACAGATACTTGGAGGTAAATCTAGCGTTGGGGTAACCATGAAAGAGTAGGTCATCACTGGAGTTCCGATTGAGCCCGGTCCTCCGCGTGTATGGGTGGAACAACGGAGCTATTGAGGCAGTTTGAGAGGGAGACTTTGGTCTACAGTTAAATGTATAATACGAACTAATGGAACAGCATAGTCAAGCATATTGACATGGGAGAGAGGCTAAAGCAATCACATGTGTTTTATTCGAGAAAGCTAGAATACAACAACTGGTAATGGCGATGAAATTTGGGCTAGGCTAATAATGAAACCTGACCGATAAATACAGGATAGGGTACCGTTTAAAGTGACATCCAGCAGGCATAATCCGTCATCTGAGTGATCATCAGTCTCCTGAACACATATGTGAGCTCCCGGGAGCAGTATTCGAATTGGTGCTACAGCACAGGCGAGAAGGAAAGCACATCTGTGTTTGCGTGTGCTAAGCTGGCGTGGCTAGCAGATGGATCTCATGTTCGTCGCAACGGGAGACTGTTGAAACCACAGCGATTACGTCACGGTAGCCCAGTCGTGATGGATCGCGGGCTTTCGTTTCGACACTATGAGTTCCCGTCCGGTTGACCGAGAGGTATAGCCGGGAGATGGGCCTTCTCGAGGCTAGCTCAAGGCTGAATTATCCAACAACTACATCCATTTGGTTGCAGCTAATCTAGTTGCGAGATCCGTGTTAAAGGGTCCAGGTTGATTCAGTAGTTCCGCAAGAAAATGCTGATATGTTCTGGACCAACGATCTTAAACGCTCTGTGCAGACCAGTGCAGAACTGGCCGATAATCGTCCAGGCTAGATCTGGTCTGGTAGTAGTGCAGGCCACGTAAATGGTTAAAACCGCTAAGCGGAGGCTAATAGCAGGTAGCTATTTAGCTGGCTTACTCCGTCCGGTAGACAAGAGTAATAGCGGAATAATGGGGCCTGCTCAAGGCTAGCTCAAGTGCTCACTGGTGTTGTTCACAGGCAATGGGGATTAGCAAACACAACACCATATCGACATCCTTCGGTGCGGGCTAGCTAGTTGCGTCCGGTTTTAAAGGTCTCAGTGATTCAGTATTTCCGGCAGAAAATCTGGATGTTCTGGGTGAAAACCGTAAACGGTGGCTAATAGCAGTAGCTAGTTAGCTGGCTACTAGTTTGCAACTGGAGATTCTAGATAAAAGTTAGTAAATAATAGAGTCCGTTCCACATGCGAGGCGGGTTGCAGGAAAGTATATTTAGAAGAAGGATTAAAAGTGTGATTGGACATATATATACGAACAAGACAAAAAAATAAAAAATAATAGGCTTTTTACACTGACACACAACCAGATTAGCGGTCGCGTAGCTCAGGCGGGGAGCTGCGCTACTTGCGCGATCTTGATATTGGTTGAGGGGTGGTTTGTGGTTGCGTGGAGGGGTGGGTTAGTTGTAGTTCCACATCAGGTAACTATAGGCTCCACATACAGTTATAGATAGGTACAGGTAGGTAACCTTCTCACATACAGTTTCGTTTAATACAGTTAGGTATAACTCCACTACAGGAGAAGTATAAAGTTTTCTAGGTTAGTTAGTATTGTTCCAAATAAAGTTCGGTATCGTTCCAGGTTAGATATAGTTCCACCTAAGGTTAATACCCTTCCACATACAGGGTATAATAGCTGCGCATACAGGTTAGGAAAGAGATACAGTTAGTAATAATACAGGTAGGAATAGGTTATACGAGTTTTAGGTATGAATAACAGGTTAGGAAAGATACAACCGTTAGGACTCTATACAGTGAGGAATAGATACAGGTTAGGTAGACAACATGTGTAGTTGATAGATACATGGTTCAGGAATAGATACAGGTTATTATAGATACAGGTCTGAATAAATACAGGTAGGAATAGATACATGTTAGAATCGATACAGGTTAGGAATGAGAGTACGGTTAGGACATAGATACAGTTTAGAATAGATACGGGTTAGGAATAGATACAGGTTAGGAATAGATACAGGGTTAGGAATAGATACAGGTTAGGAATAGATAGCATGTTAGGGTAATCGACACAGGTGAGGTATAAGATACATGTTAGTATAGAACAGGTTAGGTATAGATACAGTTCGGAATAGATACATGTTAGAAATAGATACGTGTTAGGAATAGATACAGGTAGGAATGATACAGGTTAGGTATCTAGATACGTTTCGGTGTATGATAGTAGGGTGGAATGATACCGGTAGGATGAACAGGTTAAGGAATCGAGACAGGTTAGGTATAGATCCGGTTATGTAAGAGAACAGGTTAAGAATAGATACGGTTAGGAATAGATACAGGTTAGGTAGAATACGGTTAGGTATATTACATGGTTTAGGAAGAGATCATTTTAGAATAGATACAGGTTTAGGAATAGATACAGGTTCAGGTATAGATACAGGTTAGGTATAGATTAAAGGTTAGGTATAGATATAGGTTAGTGTATAGGATTACAGGTTAGGTATAGATACAGGATAGCAAGATGAGGTTAGGCATAGATACAGGTTAGTATAGATTACAGGTTAGGAATTAATACAGGTTAGGTTAGATCAGTTAGAATAGATACGGTTAGGAATAGATACCGATTAGGTATAAGATACAGGTTAGTTTAGATACCGTAGGTATGACACAGTTTTAGGTATAGACCAGGTTAAGGGAATATATACCGTTTAGTGAATAGATACAGGTTAGGAATAGTACCGGTTAGGGTATATAACTGTTGTAATAACAACAGTTAGGAATATCTACGGTTAGGTATCGATACGGTGGAATAAGAAACAGGGTAGGTATAGATACCGGTTAGGAAGAGATACCGGTTAGGAATAATGCACTTTAGGTATAGATAACAGGTTAGGATAGATACGGAAAATTCATTAATATATACAGGTTAGGAATAGATACGTTAGGTATAGACAACAGGTTAGGTATAGATACAGGTTAGGTATAGTACAGGTTAGGTATAGATACAGGTTAGGTATAGATCAGGTTAGGAATAGATACAGGTTAGGTTAGATACAGGTTAGGTATAGATACCATGTTAGAATAGATCAGGTTAGGAATAGATAACATGTTAATATACAGGTTAGAATAATACAAGGTTAGGTATAGATACAGGTTAGGAATAGATACAGGTTAGGTATAAGATACCTTTACGAATAGTATACAGTTAGGAAAAGATACAGTAGGTATAATACAGGTAGTATAGATACACTGTTAGGAATATATACAGGTTTAGGAATAAACAGTTAGGAATAGATACAGGTTTAGGTATAGATACAGGTTAGGTATAATACAGGTTTGGTATAGATCGGTTAGAATAGATACCGTGAGGCATATATACAGGTTAGCTGTAATCAGATAAGGTTAGACTATATACAGGTTGGTATCTATCGCGAGGTTAGGACTCGATACAGGTTTAGGACTAGATAAGGTTAAGAATAATTTACAGGTTATTGAATAGATACAGTTCGGAATATATACCGTGTTAGGTAGAGTTACAGGTTAAGGTAACGATACAGGTTAGTATAATACAGGTTAGGAATGATACAGTTAGGAAATATATACAGTTCGGAATAGATCATGTTAGGTATGATACATGTAGGAATAGATACATGTTAAGGAATAATACAGGTTATTAATAGATACAGGATTAGGTAAGATACGGTTAGGCATAGTTCATATACAGGTTAGGTAGGGTTAGATAAAGGTAGGAAATATATACAGGTTAGTTATGTTTTCCACATACAGGTGGTAAGTCCCCTGTAGCTCAGTTTGGTGAGCATGGCGCTTGCAACGCCAGGGTTGTGGGTTTCGTTTCCCACGGGGGGGCCAGTATGAAAAATGTATGCACTCAGCTAACTGTAAGTCGCTCTGGATAAGAGTGTCTGCTAAAATGACAAAAAAAAAAAAAAGTACAGTTCCTCATAGATGTTAGGTACAGTTCCACACAAAGGTTAGGTACAGTTCCTCAACATGTTAGGTACAGTTCCACACAAAGGTTAGGTACAGTTCCTCATAGATGTTAGGTACTGTTCCACCACAAAGGTTAGGTACAGTTCCTCATAGATGTTAGGTACTGTTCCACAACAAGGTTAGGTACAGTTCCTCATACATGTTAGGTACTGTTCCACACAAAGGTTAGGTACAGTTCCACACAAAGGTTAGGTACAGTTCCTCATAGATGTTAGGTACTGTTTCCACACAAAGGTTAGGTACAGTTCCTCATAGATGTTAGGTACTGTTCCACACAAAGGTTAGGTACAGTTCCTCATACATGTTAGGTACAGTTCCACACAAAGGTTAGGTACAGTTCCTCATACATGTTAGGTACAGTTCCCCACAAAGGTTAGGTACAGTTCCTCATACATGTTATGGTAGCAGTTCCCACACCAATGTTAGGTACAGTTCCCATAATTTAGGTACAGTTCCACACACAAGGTAGGTACATTCCACACAAAGGTTAGGTACAGTTCCTCATACATGTTAGATACAGTTTCCAAATATACAGGTTTAGGTACTCGTTCCTATACATGGTTAGGTATCTGTTCCATAAACAGGTTAGGTATCGTTCCATAATACAGTTAGGTATCGTTCCATATACAGGTTAGGTATCGGTCCATATACAGTGTAGGTATAGTTCCTCATCCAGGTTATGGTATCGTTCCATAACGAGGTTTAGGTTATCGTTTCATATACAGGTTAGGTAAGTTTCCATATACAGGTTAGGTATCCGTTCCCATATACAGGTTAGGTAATAGTTCCATAGACCATGGTTGATGGTTTAGTTCCATATACATGGTTAGGTAATCCGTTCCATATACAGGGTTAGGGATCGTTCCATATACAGTTAGTATAGTTCCATATACAGGTTAGGTATAGTTCCATATACAGGTTAGGTATAGTTCCATATACAGGTTAGGTATCGTTCCATATACAGGGTTTAGGTATCGTTCCATATACAGGTTAGGTATCGTTCCCATATACAGGTTATGTATAGTTCCATATACAGGTTAGGTATCGTTCCATAATACAGGTTAGTATCGTTCCATATACAGGTAGGTATAGTTCCATATACAGGTTAGGTATCGTTCCATATACAGGTTAGGTATCGTTCCATATACAGGTTAGGTATCGTTCCATATACAGGTTAGGTATATTGTATTTGTATTTATCATGGATCTCCTTTAGCTGCTGCCAAGGCAGTACTTTACTCTTCCTGGGGTCCAGCAAAATTAAGACAGTTATACATTTTAAAAACCTTACAATACATTCATAACAGATTTCACAACATATTAAGTGTGTGCCCTCAGGCCTCTACTCTACTACCACATATCTATAACACAAAATCCATGTGTACATGTGTGTATAGTGCGTATGTTATCGTGTGGTTGTATGCATGTGTCTATGTTTGTGTTGCTTCACAGTCCCCGCTGGTCCATAAGGTGTATTTTTATCTGTTTTCTCTGTTGTCTATAGGCCGTCTATAGGCCGCTCCGAGTTCAACGATGTGCCCCACTTGACCGTAGCTCGCTCGGTCTGACCGCAGTGACTGTGTCTGTGTGTGTCTGTGTGTGTCTGTGTGTGTCTGTGTGTGTCTGTGTGTGTGTCTGTGTGTGTCTGTGTGTATGAGAGTAAAACTGTCCAACAGGGGGGCAGAGCAGGCAGCCCCTGTGGAGGCAGGCCACTCTCTCCCCCCTTTCTTTTGGCCTGCTGTCCCTCTGGAGTTCCAAGTCGGTAAGCTGTACTCTCAGGCCCATGGGAGATGTCTTTTGAACAGGCAGGGAGTGCATAATTAGAGATATGGAGCTCCAGAGGTCACAAGGTCAATGTGGGCCTGCATGGAAGTCAGCAGGGCCACAAGGGTGCAACAGCTTTAACAGAATCAAACAAAAAAAAAGTGCCCTAAAGGTTATTCTAGCTGCGTGCAGCGGTTCATTCAGTCTGACCCATCCGAGTTGTTCCCCCACAGGATAACATGGGTATACATGTAATGCTCTAACTCTGCTCCTGTTTATGCAATTAGCAAAATTCCTTCTGCCACATGTTCAGGGTCACCTGTAGCTCTACAGATATCAATATGAATACAGTACATGGTCCCCTTCATATCTTAAACGGGAAATTTTAACAATAAATCTTATGTCAAATTCCATTGTAACTAATTGCCATGGGAAAGCAGTCAAGTCAGCCATCCCATTGATAAATTCATCAAAAACAGTCAAAGGACAGAACATTTGAAATGTATTTGTACAGTAGAGTATCCCAGTAGTGGACTTTATTAGTTAAAGCCATAGTGTACATTTTTTGTAACAGGTATGGAATTGACTGAATGATGAATTGATTTAATGGTAAAAGACTGAATTTGAATGTTTGACTGTGAGCTGACAGCAAGGGAGGAGTTGGAGGTGTGTTTTAGTGGGAGGAGTGTGTTGTGGAAATAGAATGTGTTTGACTAGAGGCTGACAGCATGGGAGGGGTGGAGGGAGTGGTCTCAGATGTGTTTATAAGCAGCAACTAAGCAGCCTGGAGCATTGTACTTCCTGGATAGCTGAAGTGATTGTGTAATGGTTTTTATTTACTGTTATTTCACTTTTCAATAATATAGATGGCTCCAGTGCGTTCTCTATTTCGTTCATGTCCACTTTGCTTTAAGGTTGTGGTTGGCTTCAGTCAGCACCTTAGGCAAGTACACAACGTTCGGAACACTGAGGAGAGGATTCTCCTTTGTAATTGGCAGTGGGGCCGTGTCAATATCAGGCAGGAGCGGTGTCCAGTGACAGGATGCTCCACCCATGTCAGCAGGCTGGACCGGCATATGGACTCCCATACAGAGCTCAACAGAGCACAGAGGAGACGGGCTTTAGAGGAGGTGAAGAGACGTCTGACAATGGAGAGGCTGGCGGCATTGAGGGCGTCGATCCCTGCCATCCCAGTGGCCACCGATTTTGATATTGTGGAGACTGCGAGGCAAGAAGAAGAGGAGGATAACTTTTTAGATACTTTTGCAGAGGAAGAGGAGGAAGAGGGCTGCACATATGATTACTGCCACTGCCAAGCACCACTTTTGAGGCTGCAGAAAGCTGTGAAAGAGAGGGATGAGGCCCTGACCAAGAAAAGTGAGACCATCCAATCCATTAGAGAGGACAACCTGAAGCTGATCTCTGAGCTGCATAGAGTGAGGAAGAGGTACCAGCTACTGAAAAGGCAGATGGGGATTCTCAGGGTGAGTCCGGCAAAGGAGAGGTCGGCAAAGAGGTCCCTCAGCTTTCAGGCCGAGGCAGACACAGCCCAAGAGGAGCTGCAGCTGGACCAAGTGACAGGTTCAGGGGACCAGACAGAGGAGGCTACAGCGTCCGGATCTGGCAGCAAACTTATCTTCCCGGGCTCTGCCATTAGTAAGTACTGTTTCTTTGAAATAGTGGCAAGTGTTTGAAACAGTTTTTTTTTTTTTTTAAACAGCTTGACTGATTCATGTTGCCTCATGAGATTGTAATTCTTGTCTAAAATGTTATGTTTCTTTGACAGGTGTGTTTCTTGAGGGATTCAGGAAGACCTGTGAGGGCCCCAATCCAAATTATAAACTAATGGAAAATTGTGCCGGAAAGATCAAAAGGGTGACGCAATTTTTGAACTACATGGCGAAGGATGAGACCTACCAATCCAATCTCATTTTCCTGACTAACCATGACAAAATAAGGGGGTAAGCAGAGTTCTTTCTTTTTAGTCTCATCAGCGTTCATTAACAATGCAGTAATTGATTGTATGATTTGTGTGTGTGTGTGTGTGTGTGTGTGTGTGTGTGTGTGTGTGTGTGTGTGTGTGTGTGTGTGTGTGTGTGTGTGTGTGTGTGTGTGTGTGTGTGTGTGTGTGTGTGTGTGTGTGTGTAAAGGTGAAAGACAGCAAGGAAGCCAAGGTGGTTTCCAGAAAGACCCTGCTGGAGTGCCAGTCTCTTGCCAAGGCCAAGATCCCAGAAGTGCTGAGTAAGTGTTTCTAAATCTGTGATGTCACTGTTATTACACACTTATAAACGTCAGACATGTATAGAGTGCAGTGTAAAGATGCCTGTTATTATTTTCATGTCCCCACAGAAACCTTGGAAGAAACAAGGACACAGAAAAATCAGTACCAGTTTAATGGATACCTGTGGGCCTACTTTACCTCCATAGACGGCCATAGACCGGGCCTGGATAAGAACATGTTGGTGGAGGAGGTGGAGGAGGCTAAATGTGACCAGTCTGGGATGTATCTGATCAGTGTAAGTCTATAAACGTACACCTGAATGTGTTTATTTGTTTGTTTGGTTGGTTGGTTGTTTTTGGAAACAATTGCAGTCGCCTTTGCGTCATTTGTGTGTTTTTTCTGTTCAATTTCTAATAGGTGGAGGAACACAAAACGAATAGAGACCATGGCATGGTCCAGATGTCGCTGACAAAGGATGAGTACACTTGGTTTTCAGACTTCCTCAAATTCAAGCACTGCCTCCCAGGGGGAAAGAAGTCCCAGCACTTTTTTTTCAATTCTACAAGCACTCAGCTCAATAACCTGCCTGCCTACCTGAGGGAGGTGTGGAAGGAGATGGGTCTGCCTGAAACTCCTACCTTCACTGACCTGCGGACCTCCATTGTCACTCATGTAAGTCAGATTAGATATGAATAGAAGTATTGTAAGATCCTATTCCACTGTTGTCTGAAATAATATCAATTATTTTTATTTATTTGTGTCTGTGTGTGTGTGTGTGTGTGTGTGTGTGTGTGTGTGTGTGTTTCTTTTTTGCTTGTGTCTTACAGGTCAAAAACATGCTCCCGAAGGCTGACAGGGAAAGGGTGGCCAACTTCATGTGCCACGACATCCAGACGGCAGATACATTTTATGCCATCAATTTAAATCCGTCCCAAGCCAGTGAAACCAGGGCACTCTTCGAGGCAGCATTAAAGGGAGAAGATACCTCTGTCACCACCGAGAACCAGGCCTCCACCTCTTCAAAAAGAAAGCGGAAGGCAAGAGAGGAGGACTCCCTCTCCGAGGGGAGCACCACCCCCGAAGAGACCAAGGTGATGTACCAGGAGTCTGGCCCGTCCTCCAGGGACTCGGAGGAGGAAGAGGTCGAGGATGAGGAACGGACGGCCAGACAACCTGTGGTAAGATCAGCTATTCCGACACCACACATTAGATTACCAAATGTGCTTGTACACCATGTAACAGTCAAACGTGCATTTTTTAATATATATATGTTCTCTTTTGTGTTTGCTGTGCCTGAAGACACCCTCCAAGTTGACCATGCCTGAGCTGGAGCAGTACCATACCCCGAGCAAGAAGCAGCTCATCCTCAGGCGCCGCATGGTGGTCGCCGTCAGCCCCCTGCTAGTCTCACCCATCAAATTGAAGAGCAAGTCGCCCCTCACCTCCCCCATTGTCACGATGCAAGGTATGCAGCAGCTGAATTCAAATGAAGACCGACTCAAAAAAGCCATTGCCTCAAGGAGGAGGAAGCTGGATGAGAAGGTGCACAAGGAAAGAGGGGAGACCTCTGTCAGCCAGAAGGAAGGGGAGCCGACCCACTTCAAGACTCAACAAGGGGAGGAAGGAAACAGCAGCACCTCTTACCAAGACTCTTAAAGACTCTCACATTTACACTGTTCTGATTTTGTGTTGTGTGGTTTTCTATTTTAGTGTGCTTGTTCAGATCATAAAATGTGTGTAATTTATTCAAACTGTCTAATCTATTTTCCATGTTGGTGTGATTCTTTATAATGTTCCAAGGTTTGCTCTGTTTAATAAAAAATGTTTTTGAGTAATTTATTGTGTTGTGCTTTTTTTAAGGTTTGGATTTGGTCTGTGTCACTTATATTGCAAGTGTTGAACCTGCACTGTCTTGTCTTTATTTTTTTTAACCAACATTCACAGACAATAATCTTAATCCATTGTGTCTGTGAATGTTGGTAAAAACAATAATCTTAATTAATTTCTCTCTGTTATTTATCAGAGTGAAATTACTTAGGAAATAGTCCATTTCAAAACCTTCTCAGAGTGTGAACACAATGCAGCTGCCAACTAGGTTTATTGTTGGTTTGACTTAGAGTTTTCAGAGGTTTATGTCCTGAAATAATGGTGTTTTTTCAACTTGGTAGCTTCATTTAGCACCTATATCCACTCTATTCTTTTGTGTTCCTTAACTTAGTTTGGTTCATTTAAAAAGGAGAATGCAATAACACATTAGCTCTAATCCAGAGCGATTTACAGGAGCAATTAGGGTTAAGTGCCTTGCTTAAGGGCACATCAACAGATTTTTCACCTAGTCGGCTCAGGGATTAGAACCAGCAACCTTTCGGTTACTGGCACAACGCTCTTAACCACTAAGCTACCTGCCGCCCTAACACTACTTTACCCTAACCCAAACCCTTGTGGTATTGGCTAATAACAATTCAATTGAACAAGTATCTTTTATAACAATAACATCTTTAATAAAACTTCAAAAACAATTTTCAATATAGGAAGAAATGATGACACTTGCGTTGACAATCTAGACAGATTTACACAAAGGAATAATTATTTGATCAACATTCTCATGCAAAAAAGATAAAAACTCTTCTTCTGCGACAGACAGTTCTGCTTGTGTTGCCTGGGTATACCCATCCTGTACATCCCAACCAGCTACACTCCAGTCTGGCCCAATGGGAGATTCCAGCAGTCCTACAATGTCCCATTCGGTCACCATTGGAGGCTGAGGGTTTTTAATCGAAGAGCCCTTAATTTAGATAGGGCTAGTTCTCTTCTCAGGATGTCAAGCTGCGTTGTGGCTTCTGAATGCTGAAAAAAAACAGAAAAAACAAGAAATGTATGAGGGTTTGATTCTGGTTAAGCAGTTGAACAAACACAAATAGGACTTAAAAATGTATCAAAGCTAGGACTTACATCTTGCCTGTGTACTGTCATCATGTGACGCAACAGCCGTGCATATTTTATTTTGCAAATGGGACAGTGGTGTTCTGTACCCTTTTTCTCTCATAGGCCTAAAGAAGGCTTTTCCTCGGTTCACTTTTGGCTCCTAAGTGAAAAAACAGATACTTCGCTGACAAGGGCAACACAACTTGTGAGCTATCGTGAGGGGAAAATATAAAACACACATGTTTTTATTTCCCAAATGACATAGAGCAGACCCCACCCCTAAACACCTTCTTGACTCTCCAAAGGCACACAGTTCCCAGAGTACACAAATTGACAGGCCATTGACAAGCTGATTTAAAAGAGTTATAAACATTTTAATGTACCTACAATATGTTGTCAAAGTTCTCCTATGAGAATCTTCAGTGTGTATTTTCAGATGTTAAACTCTGAGTGAATGACACTCATTTCGTGAGAAAGCTCGATCACACAGACACTAGTGACAAAAGGGCATGATCAAGTTCAAAGCACACAGGGTCAGAAAAGAGAGAAAGTGAAGAGCAGTGAGAGAGTGAAGGGTTGTTCATGCTACCAAATCAAACCCTCATACATTTCTTGTTTTTTCTGTTTTTTTCAGCATTCAGAAGCCACAGCGCAGCTTGACATCCTGAGAAGAGAACTAGCCCTATCTAAATTAAGGGCTCTTCGATTAAAAAACCCTCAGCCTCCAATGGTGACCGAATGGGACATTGTAGGACTGCTGGAATCTCCCATTGGGCCAGACTGGAGTGTAGCTGGTTGGGATGTACAGGATGGGTATACCCAGGCAACACAAGCAGAACTGTCTGTCGCAGAAGAAGAGTTTTTATCTTTTTTGCATGAGAATGTTGATCAAATAATTATTCCTTTGTGTAAATCTGTCTAGATTGTCAACGCAAGTGTCATCATTTCTTCCTATATTGAAAATTGTTTTTGAAGTTTTATTAAAGATGTTATTGTTATAAAAGATACTTGTTCAATTGAATTGTTATTAGCCAATACCACAAGGGTTTGGGTTAGGGTAAAGTAGTGTTAGGGCGGCAGGTAGCTTAGTGGTTAAGAGCGTTGTGCCAGTAACCGAAAGGTTGCTGGTTCTAATCCCTGAGCCAACTAGGTGAAAAATCTGTCGATGTGCCCTTGAGCAAGGCACTTAACCCTAATTGCTTGTGTAAGTCGCTCTGGATAAGAGTGTCTACTAAAATGTTAATGTGTTATTGCATTCTTATTTTTAAATGAACCAAACTAAGTTAAGGAACACAAAAGAATAGAGTGGATATAGGTGCTAAATGAAGCTACCAAGTGGAAAAAACACCATTATTTCAGGACATAAACCTCTGAAAACTCTAAGTCAAACCAACAATAAACCTAGTTGGCAGCTGCATTGTGTTCACACTCTGAGAAGGTTTTGAAATGGACTATTTCCTAAGTAATTTCACTCTGATAAATAACAGAGAGAAATTAATTAAGATTATTGTTTTTACCAACATTCACAGACACAATGGATTAAGACTATTGTCTGTGAATGTTGGTTAAAAAAAAGGTTCAACACTTGCAATATAAGTGACACAGACCAAATCCAAACCTTAAAAAAAGCACAACACAATAAATTACTCAAAAACATTTTTTATTAAACAGAGCAAACCTTGGAACATTATAAAGAATCACACCAACATGGAAAATAGATTAGACAGTTTGAATAAATTACACACATTTTATGATCTGAACAAGCACACTAAAATAGAAAACCACACAACACAAAATCAGAACAGTGTAAATGTGAGTGAGTCTTTAAGAGTCTTGGTAAGAGGTGCTGCTGTTTCCTTCCTCCCCTTGTTGAGTCTTGAAGTGGGTCGGCTCCCCTTCCTTCTGGCTGACAGAGGTCTCCCCTCTTTCCTTGTGCACCTTCTCATCCAGCTTCCTCCTCCTTGAGGCAATGGCTTTTTTGAGTCGGTCTTCATTTGAATTCAGCTGCTGCATACCTTGCATCGTGACAATGGGGGAGGTGAGGGGCGACTTGCTCTTCAATTTGATGGGTGAGACTAGCAGGGGGCTGACGGCGACCACCATGCGGCGCCTGAGGATGAGCTGCTTCTTGCTCGGGGTATGGTACTGCTCCAGCTCAGGCATGGTCAACTTGGAGGGTGTCTTCAGGCACAGCAAACACAAAAGAGAACATATATATATTAAAAAATGCACGTTTGACTGTTACATGGTGTACAAGCACATTTGGTAATCTAATGTGTGGTGTCGGAATAGCTGATCTTACCACAGGTTGTCTGGCCGTCCGTTCCTCATCCTCGACCTCTTCCTCCTCCGAGTCCCTGGAGGACGGGCCAGACTCCTGGTACATCACCTTGGTCTCTTCGGGGGTGGTGCTCCCCTCGGAGAGGGAGTCCTCCTCTCTTGCCTTCCGCTTTCTTTTTGAAGAGGTGGAGGCCTGGTTCTCGGTGGTGACAGAGGTATCTTCTCCCTTTAATGCTGCCTCGAAGAGTGCCCTGGTTTCACTGGCTTGGGACGGATTTAAATTGATGGCATAAAATGTATCTGCGGTCTGGATGTCGTGGCACATGAAGTTGGCCACCCTTTCCCTGTCAGCCTTCGGGAGCATGTTTTTGACCTGTAAGACACAAGCAAAAAAGACACACACACACACACACACACACAAATAAATAAAAATATTTGATATTATTTCAGACAACAGTGGAATAGGATCTTACAATACTTCTATTCATATCTAATCTGACTTACATGAGTGACAATGGAGGTCCGCAGGTCAGTGAAGGTAGGAGTTTCAGGCAGACCCATCTCCTTCCACACCTCCCTCAGGTAGGCAGGCAGGTTCTTGAGCTGAGTGCTTGTAGAATTGAAAAAAAAGTGCTGGGACTTCTTTCCCCCTGGGAGGCAGTGCTTGAATTTGAGGAAGTCTGAAAAACCAAGTGTACTCATCCTTTGTCAGCGACATCTGGACCATGCCATGGTCTCTATTCGTTTTGTGTTCCTCTACCTATTAGAAATTGAACAGAAAAAACACACAAATGAAGCAAAGGCGACTGCAATTGTTTCCAAAAACAACCAACCAACCAAACAAACAAATAAACACATTCAGGTGTACGTTTATAGACTTACACTGATCAGATACATCCCAGACTGGTCACATTTAGCCTCCTCCACCTCCTCCACCAACATGTTCTTATCCAGGCCCGGTCTATGGCCGTCTATGGAGGTAAAGTAGGCCCACAGGTCTCCATAAAACTGGTACTGATTTTTCTGTGTCCTTGTTTCTTCCAAGGTTTCTGTGGGGACATGAAAATAATAACAGGCATCTTTACACTGCACTCTATACATGTCTGACGTTTATAAGTGTGTAATAACAGTGTCATCACAGATTTAGAAAGACGTACTCAGCACTTCTGGGATCTTGGCCTTGGCAAGAGACTGGCACTCCAGCAGGGTCTTTCTGGAAACCACCTTGGCTTCCTTGCTGTCTTTCACCTTTACACACACACACACACACACACACACACACACACACACACACACACACACACACACACACACACACACACACACACACACACACACACACACACACACACACACACACACACACACACACACACAAATCATACAATCAATTACTGCATTGTTAATGAACGCTGATGAGACTAAAAAGAAAGAACTCTGCTTACCCCCTTATTTTGTCATGGTTAATCAGGAAAATGAGATTGGATGGGCAGGTCTCATCCTTCGCCATGTAGTTCAAAAATTGCGTCACCCTTTTGATCTTTCCGGCACAATTTTCCCTTAGCTTATAATTTGGATTGGGGCCCTCACAGGTCTTCCTGAATCCCTCAAGAAACACACCTGTCAAAGAAACATAACATTTTAGACAAGAATTACAATCTCATGAGGCAACATGAATCAGTCAGGCTGTTTAAAAAAAAAAAAAAATGTTTCAAATACTTTCCACTATTTAAAGAAACAGTACTTACTGATGGCAGAGCCCGGGAAGATAAGTTTGCTGCCAGATCCGGACGCTGTAGCCTCCTCTGTCTGGTCCCCTGAACCTGTCACTTGGTCCAGCTGCAGCTCCTCTTGGGCTGTGTCTGCCTCGGCCTGAAAGCTGAGGGACCTCTTTGCCGACCTCTCCTTTGCCGGACTCACCCTGAGAATCCCCATCTGCCTTTTCAGTAGCTGGTACCTCTTCCTCACTCTATGCAGCTCAGAGATCAGCTTCAGGTTGTCCTCTCTAATGGATTGGATGGTCTCACTTTTCTTGGTCAGGGCCTCATCCCTCTCTTTCAAAGCTTTCTGCAGCCTCAAAAGTGGTGCTTGGCAGTGGCAATAATCATTAGTGCAACCCTCTTCCTCCTCTTCCTCTGCAAAAGTATCTAAAAAGTTATCCTCCTCTTCTTCTTGCCTCGCAGTCTCCACGATATCACTTCACAGTAGGTATGGTGTTCTTTGGATGCAACTCAGCATTCTTTCTCCTCCAAACACGACGAGTAGAGTTTTTACCAAAAAGTTATATTTTGGTTTCATCTGACCATATGACATTCTCCCAATCCTCTTCTGGATCATCCAAATGCACTCTAGCAAACTTCAGACGGGCCTGGACATGTACTGGCTTAAGCAGGGGGACACGTCTGGCACTGCAGGATTTGAGTCCCTGGCGGCGTAGTGTGTTAATGATGGTAGGCTTTGTTACTTTGGTCCCAGCTCTCTGCTGGTCATTCACTAGGTCCCCCTGTGTGGTTCTGGGATTTTTGCTCACCGTTCTTGTGATCATTTTGACCCCACGGGGTGAGATCTTGCGTGGAGCCCCAGATCGAGGGAGATTATCAGTGGTCTTGTATGTCTTCCATTTCCTAATAATTGCTCCCACAGTTGATTTCTTCAAACCAAGCTGCTTACCTATTGCAGATTCAGTCTTCCCAGCCTGGTGCAGGTCTACAATTTTGTTTCTGGTGTCCTTTGACAGCTCTTTGGTCTTGGCCATAGTTGAGTTTGGAGTGTGACTGTTTGAGGTTGTGGACAGGTGTCTTTTATACTGATAACAAGTTCAAACAGGTGCCATTAATCGTTAGGTAACGAGTGGAGGACAGAGGAGCCTCTTAAAGAAGAAGTTACAGGTCTGTGAGAGCCAGAAATCTTGCTTTTTTGTAGGTGACCAAATACTTATTTTCCACCATAATTTGCAAATAAATTCATTAAAAATCCTACAATGTGATTTTCTGGATATTTTTTTCGCAATTTGTCTGTCATAGTTGACGTGTACCTATGATGACAATTACAGGCCTCTCTCATCTTTTTAAGTGGGAGAACTTGCACAATTGGTGGCTGACTAAATACTTTTTTTCCCCACTGTATGGGTTTATTTAATCTTCGAAAAACAGTATTTCAATAGTTCAATTAATACACCAGAATCTTATGTTTTGCCATTTTCACATCCAAGAATCAGGTGATACTAAAATGGACACTTGGAGGCAAAAAATTAGAGGGAGTAAAGGTGCCAGCTGCTATGGGCACATGCCTTCTTCATTGTCCTCTGATGGCTGTTGTGAACAACTTCATGTAACATTCTCAGAAAAGGTACTGTACCTCACCAAATTGCAGTGCTCAAGACATCTTTGATTGAAGTGCTTACAGTTTGTGATAGATTTGCTTCGATGTACTTCGAAGTACTAGATGTACTTTTGAGCCTGTTTAGTAATATAACATTCTAAAATGTATTTCCATTAGTCCACACAGCACGTATAGCCTAACATGCGTAACCACAAACACACACACACACACACACACACACACACACACACACCAAGCTTCTCCCTGCAACTTCAGACTATAGGCATACACTCTTCTAACAGCATGGTGCATTATAAGCGCTACCAAAAAACTCTTGGCACTACACTGTCACTGACTGCGAAGAGTCAGTCCTCTAAATTCGCTACAATGAATTCGCTACAACGTTCTGCTGCATAGCCTACTACAGTAGCTTAGAGTGTCTAGCAGCTAGGCCTATATGATGAAAGGGAAGTTCAGAATAAGGGGGAACAAAAATCTGTGCGTAATGGCAACTTTAAACAACCTATCCATGGTGCTTTTACCACACAAGCTCACAGAACGGGACCGTCGAGTGATGTAGCGTGTACAAATTGTCTGTCCTCGGTTGCAACACTCACTACCGAGTTCCAAACTGCCTCTGGAAGCAATGTCAGCACAATAACTGTTCGTCGGGAGCTTCATTAAATGGGTTTCCATGGCCGAGCAGCCCACACAAGCCTAAGATCACCATGCGCAATGCCAAGCGTCAGCTGGAGTACTGTAAAGCTCGCCGCCATTGGACTCTGGAGCAGTGGAAACGCGTTCTGTGGAGTGATGAATCACGCTTCACCATCTGGCAGTCCGACGGACGAATCTGGGTTTGGTGGATGCCAGGAAAACACTAGCTGCTCTAATGGATAATGCCAACTGTAAAGTTTGGTGGAGGAGGAATAATGGTTCGGGCTAGGCCCCTTAGTTCCAGTGAAGGGAAATCTTAACGTTAGAGCATACAATTACATTCTAGACGATTCTGTGCTTCCAACTTTGTCGCAACAGTTTGGGGAAGGCCCTTTCCTGTTTCAGCATGACAATGCCCCCGTGCAAAAGCGAGCTCCATACAGAAATGGTTTGTCGAGATCGGTGTGGAAGAACTTGACTGGTCTGCACAGAGCCCTGACGTCAACCCCATCGAACACCTTTGGGATGAATTGGAACGCCGACTGCAAGCCAGGCCTAATCTCCCAACATCAGTGCCCGACCTCACCAATACTGTGGTTGAATGGAAGCAAGTCCCTGCAGCAATGTTCCAACATCTAGTGGAAAGGCGTCCCAGAAGAGTGGAGGCTGTTATAGCAGCAAATGGGGGACCAATTCAATATTAATGCCCATGATTTTGGAATGAGATGCTCGATGAGCAGTTGTCCACATACTTTCGGTCATGTAGTGTATCTCTTTCCATTCATCATCATCATCATCATCATCATCATCATCATCATCAATAGCTTCTACCAGGTCTTCCTCACATTTTTGTTTTACATGTTTTGTGTCATCGGGAAAAGCCTCTGTCAACCCTTAATACAGTTTGGAAATCAACTTTGGAGGTTTGTCAGACTGCCTTAAAATAGCATCTGGCTTGTCCAGTGTTTGCGGCACAGACAGAATAAAGGGTTATATATGTAAAAATTCACCTCAGCTCCTTCACAGGTCTTCCCTGGCTGCCTGACAGTGCTGAGACCGCTGTCATCATCTGATCCTCCTAAGATGACAAAGAATTACCTTGGCGTACATTTATACATTATATTATCCAATAATAGAATCAACCGTTCAATAATTAAACTGACCATTATTCCCAGATCCCAAAATGTAGATTTAAGCTTAAACTGATGTCTTGTAGCTACTGTAGGTCTACCCATCAATTCAAGATAGTTGATATTGGTAATATACTGCAAAATTCACCTGAGTTCCGTAGACTGGTCTTCCCTGACTGTCTGACTCTGCTGGGACCCCTGTCCCCATCTGATCCTGCTAAGACATGATGAGCATAGTGTTGTGTACTGAGTAGAGGGCTGCATTTCCGCATGACCCGACAGATCATTGCGCGTGCTCTGCATTGGACTGGATGAAAATATTTGTGTTGTCCCACAGATTATTTAGAAAGGTCCTCTTTCTGCTTTGTATGCGTTAGCCTAACTATTGTAGTAATCACATATTTTTCGCATTATTCACACAAGTTCAAGTGTGCCTAGTGTAATATTCATATGTGTCACCATACTGAATTGTAATTGGATGCATCATACTGTGCAATGATTGGTTAAGACCACCCAGGTGGTGAGGTCATTCAAAAGATGATCATGGCCAGAGACACATGGACATGCAAGTTATAGCTAGTTAATAAAGAGCTACGTTTATAAATATCCTGTCGTCCTGCATTTTATAATTTTGTACAAAGCGTACAAAACAAGACATGGTGTCAGAGTAAAAGGACTAAAAGATGGATTTTGCTGGAGTTCCTTCACCTCGAATGGATTGGGGGTCTACAAATCTACCCGATGCATGGCGTAAGTTCAAACAGCATGTGGAGCTGATGTTCACGGGTCCTCTGAAGGAAAGAGGAGAAGAGGGAAAGTGCAGCTACCTGCTCCTCTGGATCGGTGAAAAAGGGAGAGACATTTACAACACATGGACACTTACCGAGGCTGAATCAAAGGTACTGAAAACATACTACGATCGTTTTGAAGCATATGTTTTGCCAAAGACCAATACAATTTTCGCTAGGTACAAATTCCATGAGAAAGTACAAGGCGCTAGTGAATCGTTTGAACAGTTTGTCACTGAGCTGCGTCTGCTTGTGAAAGACTGTGATTATGCAAACAAGGATGAGATGGTCAGGGACCGTATTGTATTTGGAATACAATCACCGCGAGTGAGAGAGAAACTTTTGAATGTTGGATCAGAGTTAACGCTGGACAAAGCTATCGACATAGCCAGATCTCACGAGCTAGCACAGGTTCAGATGAAAACCATTTCAGGCGGCAGCACGAGCGCATCACGTGAACAAGCAGTGCACGCAGTCAGGCAGACATCAAAGCACACCTCCAGTGCCCAGAGAGCATGTTTCAGAACGGAGACAGACAGAACTCCAAAACAGAGCGACACAGACTCCAAACGCCCCAAAACATGTGGATATTGTGGATACAAAGTGCATGGCGAACAGGGGAATTGCCCAGCTAAAGGCAAACAGTGTACTAAATGTGGAAAATGGAATCACTTTGCAAAAGTGTGCAGAGTTTACTGTGGAAAAACAGTACATACAGTGAGTGAAGATGAAATGTCAATCAAAGAGTCAAATGCTGATGAACTGTTTATTGATTCAGTGACACAGAAAAGTCAGATATCAGAGACAGAGCAAGCCTTTGCTGACATTGAGATAGGAAGACAAGGCACAGAGCTAAAATTCAAACTAGACACTGGTGCACAAGTAAACATTATTCCTCTGAGTAAGTACAGAAGCTTGACATCTGAGTGTGAGCTACAGCCCACCACGCGCAGACTGACTGGTTATGGTGGTGAACAGCTCCCAGTAAAAGGCACATGCACTCTCAAATGCAAATACAAGGAAAGGGACATGATGTTGGACTTTTACGTTGTTGACACTCGAGCACCTGCAGTGCTAGGTCTTAAAGCATGTTTAGACATGGACCTTATCAAGCTAGTTTTATCAGTGACAGCACCAGTAGAGATAGAGAATGTCATGGAGGAGTTTGCTGATGTTTTTACAGGAATAG